GGACCAATCGCTGACGGGCGATGTCCGACGTGTCAGGAACGAAGGGTCGCAACAGACTCACGTGGAATTTGTTGTGAATTCGCCAGTCATCAGGTAGGCGCAACTGGGCGGTCACCGGCGTCACCATCTTCACGATCTTGAACGGGCCACAGAAACGTGGTCGTAATTTTATCGGTAGCGGCAGTCGTAAATTCTTAGTGTCCAAAAGGACTAGTTGCCCTGCTGTCATCGTAATATCCCGGCGATGTAAATCCGTATACCGTCGGGCAGTTGCGTTCGCCTTGCGAATAAGTTCGACAGCTTTGTCTCGGGCAGTCTGTAATTCTTCGACGAACTGCTGCGATCGCGGTACTTGACTCTCAACGTTGGTGGAGATCGGCACTGTAGGATCCATCCCGTAATTGAGATAAAACGGGGAGTGATTAGTCGTTGCCGAGGGTGCGTTGTTGTAGGAAAATTCCAACATGGGCAGCACGTCCTCCCATTTGTTTCGGTCGGGGCAGTTTTTCCGAATCAGCTGCTCCATCGTTTGATTTGTCCTTTCCGTCTGGCCGTCCGTTTGTGGATGATACGCGGATGAGAACTGTAGACGCGTGCCGTACCGAGCCCACGTGTCCTGCCAGAATTTGGACGTGAACTTCGGATCTCGATCGCTAATGATTGCTGCTGGTATCCCGTGTAGTCGAACGACGGTCGAGATGAACAGGCGTGCTGTTTCTTCGGGTGTGATGGTTGTACGACATGGTGCAAAATGCGCCATTTTCGTCAGTCGGTCGACGACAACCAAAACCGCGTCGTTTCCGCTGGGTCCAGCCGGTAGTCCCGTAACGAAATCCATCGTTACGTGTTGCCATGGGCGTTGAGGTGGCTCGAGGGGCTGCAACAGTCCTGTGGGCCGCTGGTGCGACAACTTCATTCGCTGGCAGATCGGACACGCGGCCACATAACGCTGCACGTCCGTCACCATATCTGGCCAGTAATAAAACCGCTGCAACGCCTTCAGAGTTTTATCAACCCCGAAATGTCCCAATAAATTCGAATCGTGGACTTCTTGAATTAGTAATTCGCGAAGTAGACGATAACTTGGGACCCAAATTCGATCAGTTCCGCTTCGTAAGTAATAGACGCCTTTCCGCGTAGTGATTGGGAGATGGCCGTCGTTTACGAAGAAGGGGCCAGTCGAATACCCGTGGGTAAATAGTCCACTGAGTAGCGGGTTGCTCTGGGCGACTAGTACTGCTGCGAGTTGGGCAGATGGTCTGGAAAGGGCGTCGGCAATATTGTTGGCGCCTTTTTTATACGTGATCTTGTACGTGAAGTTCGACTCCAGGTAGTCCAGCCAGCGTATCTGCCACGGGTTGAGATTCGGCTGCGCCCGTAGATACTGTAATGATTTGTGATCGGTTCGCACCGTCACGTCTGCTCCAGTCAGGTAGCACCTCCAGATTTTGAACGCGTGGACGATCGCCAACATCTCCTTGTCGTGTACCGGGTAGTTGCGCTCAGCAGATTGCATTTTCCGAGACTCGTACGCGATTGGTTGAAGCCCGTTGCCAAAATCCTGCATGAGCACTGCTCCGATGGCGATGTCACTTGCGTCGGTGATGACTTCGAAGGGCCGTTCCGGGTCAGCGATGCGAAGTACCGGTGGAGACATTAAAAAAAATTTTAATGCCTCAAACGCAGCTTGCTGCTTCTCCCCCCACTCGTAAAAAGTCCCCTTCTGCAGTAGGTCGGTTAGAGGTCCAGTTAACCCCGCCATGTTGGGTATAAACCGTCGCACGTAATTGACGAAACCCAAAAATGATTGCAGCTGCTGCAGATTTGTTGGCGGTTGCCACTCCTGAATAGCCCTAAGTTTTTTCGGGTCTATTCGAATCCCCTCCGTGGAGATCACATGCCCCAGGAACTCCAGTTCTTGTTTTAAAAACTCGCACTTGGAGCCCTTGGTGATGAGACGATTCTGCTGCAGTCGCTGAAAAACCGCTTCCAAATCCTTTAAATGTTGCTCCCGGGTCTTGCTGTAGATCAAGATGTCGTCCAAGTAGATTATCACGCATTTGTCGAGTAGATCGCGGAACACCCCATTCATGGTGAGTTGAAACGTCGAGGGGGCATTCATTAATCCAAACGGCATCACCGTGTATTCGTAACTCCCATAGCGAGTACGAAACGCGGTCTTGTGGCAGTCGTCAGCGAACACTCGAATTTGATGGTAACCGCCACGAAGGTCGATCTTCGAAAAGTAACGAGCTCCGCGAAGGTTGTCGATCAGTTCGTCCGTTCGTGGGATTGGGTAGCGCGATTTAATGGTTACCCGATTAAGGGCACGATAATCCGTACACATGCGAAGTCCGCCGTCCTTTTTTGGTGTGAACAGGATCGGTGCGGCGAACGGGGACGTGCTCGGCCGAATGAACCCTTTCGCCAACAGGTAATCCAGCTGGTTTCGTAACTCCTGTAGTTCCGGTTGAGTCAGGCGCCATTGCGTGCGTACAGTAGGCTGCGCGCCGGGCTCCAGCTCGATTTTGTGGTCCTGGGGTCGTTCGGGTGGCAGTCCACTTGGCAAGTCGTCTGGAAAAATCTCAGGATATTCCCGAATGATTTTCGCCAAGTCGTCCGGGACCGAATCGCAGAGTTTGTTGATGTCGGTCGCCTCCTTCTGCTCCGTCGATTTGGTTAGATGGACGGCATATAAATCCGCTCCATTCTTGACCGCTCGATTGAGGCACACCGCGTTGACTCGTGTCGATGTTGTCTCTGCTTCCGGCCACGTGGGTAATTTTCGCCAACCTTTATCGCACTTCACTGTGCACTCGCCTGTCGTCCAATCGATTTGCGGGTTGAATCTCCGCAGCCAATCGCGTCCCAGTAGCACGTCGTAGCCGTCGAGCGTTGTCGCCAGCATCGGCACGCTGAACCCAAAATCGTCGCCACACTTCATTCGTACGACAGGTACTTTGTCGCGTATCGCCAGCGGGGTGCCGTCCACCAATCGCGCGTCGATTTCGGGTAGACACCGCTCCAGCGTCAGGTGTAGTCGTCGTGCTGTCTCTCGATTTATCAGGCTGTGACTCGCACCTCCGTCGATGAATATTTTTATTTTTCTTCCATGAAGTCGTCCTTCCGCCAGTACAGGGTGGTCCACTGGGTCATCCTCCCTTTTCAGACGGGAGCGGTTGATAGCATGTATCGGAACCACTACTCGGTGGGGATGCTGTTTTTCGGGCGATGAGGCAGGGTCAGTAGGGGGCCCGACCGCTACTGACGCTTGGCGTTTCCCGACCTGTCCTCGTCGTTCTTCTTTATCTGCTTCTTTCGGGGGCAATCGTGAGATTGGTGACCCGGCTGGTGGCAGTTGAAACATTGTCCCTTGCGAAAATCATCCATGTGCTCCTTCGCCACTACGCCGTGAATCGTGGGCCGTGGATTCTGGCCACGAAAACGATTTCCCTCCCGGGAACCCGCTCTCGCATACGTCCGATGCGCGTCGAAGTTGTCTGCGATCCGAACGGCTTCGTGAAACGTCGCCGGTAGTCGCAGTCGGACCTCGCATTTAATGTCCTGCTTCAAGCCCGAAATGAATCGAGCTTTCTTTTCGGAGTCATGCATGTCGGTGATTTGATCGCATAACGCCATGAAGACCGACGCGTAATCCTGGACAGAACTCCACTGGCGCCAGTTGTCCAGCTTCGTGCGTGCGTTGTCCGAGGCGGATATGGGCTCGAACCGTTCACGCAGAGCTGTACCCCACGCCTTCCACGTGCGAATCTTGGTCGATCCAAAAATCGCGGTTGACCTTTGGGCAGCAGACCCAAAGTTTCCGAAAAACCCCTGTGTGTCGCCTGCCGAAAACTCCCCCTCCTGTAGAGTATATCGCCACCAATCTAGCGCAGGTCCCCGCAGTAGTGATACAGCCAATCGAATTTTTAACTCGTCAGCAGTGATCCCAGCGGCATTAAAATAAAGTTCCGCCGAAAATAACCAGCCCGTAACAGTAGTATTCTTATCTGTGGGGTTGAACGGGGGCGGCATTGTCGGTTTGATTGTCGCTGTCGTCACGATCGGCATAAACGCCGGTGCGGCTACAGTAGCGGCTGCTTCTGATCGAGCAGCTGCTGCTGTCGCTGCTGCTGCTGCTTCGGCTGCTGCTCGTGCTGCCACGTCAGCTGCTGCGGCGGCTTCACTGTCCTTGCGCTCCTGTGACACCTGACGTGCGATTTCGTCCAAGACGGTTTCGACACGTCCGGTGCTGGCGACCTCCTCTTGGGCGGCAGATTTCTGACGCGAATCCTCTCGCGCCTGGCGTAACTCAGCAACTTCCGCACGAAGTCGCTCGTTGTCCTCCAGCACTGTAGCCATGCGCGTGTTCATGGCGTTGAACTGCTCCCGAAGCTCGTTGAACTGAGCTTGGTCCATTTGGCGAATGCTCCGCCGGGGCAGGGGGAATTCCGTCGTGTGCCTGTACTTAGGTAAGCGCAAACGCTATCGTAGTTGGGCGAATTAATCAATCTAATTCGCGAGCAACCGCTTTGCAGCTTACGTGAGGGACCTACCCCCCCCCAAGAAAAATCAACTCACGAAAACGGGTGAGCGAGGAAAGTGGCTCTGAATACCAGGTGTTATGAATGAACAAGCAGAGTAGCGCGGAAATGAATAACGAAGTGTTCACTCAATGAATGACGATACAAGGAATGGCAAGCCAAGATATAGGAACACCAGAGCTAGTCTAACCATGCGATGGGAAGGTTCGGGAAGGAGATCGAAGGGTCTCGAAGTGACAAAGCGAGGCCTGGAGAACTCCCGAAGGTCGAACCGGAAGGTCTGGAAAAACCGAGGCGGTTCTGTCAGAAGGTCTGGAACAGTCCCGAGGCTTCAGGTGTGTTCGAGCGTACGCGATAGCAGTACCGCTCGGTAAGGAATGGAAAATTCCTTACAGCAATCCCATTCATAACAGCATGCCTTGCTAATGGGTTTTTACTTCTGTTAGAGACTATAGTCTTTGTATGAGTTCGCCTAATCAGGTCACCCAACTCCTTATGAGCCAACAGGTCACCAGCGGCAAAACATCACAGCTTGTATCCGGTACCATAGCTTTGCAAGGCATAAGGAGCGTCGGTCGCAGCATATGTGCCTCTAGATTGCAACATCTACTGCTGGGCTGCAATACAGGTACTCGGTTCTTTCGGAAAGCACAACCGCTGTAGCGCAGGCGCTCATCTTTCTACAACAGAGCGGACAGGACATAGTACAGTATGCCATGAGGGATACACTATATAACAGTTAACGAAGTGAAAATGTGGCCATTTGGCTAAATTGTATCTTCAGTTGTAGATCTTCACAGGTTTCTCATAGGCATGCCGGTTCTGCAGGGCATCCGGGTAGCAGAGCAGAGCAGAGCAGCAGGCCATTGCAGCACGGCAGAAGAGCGGAGCAGGAATACAAAATTCCCAACAATCAGATGAGCAGAGATGCTCGAAGAGGAAACATGCTAGCCAAGAAAGTTGTGTCGGAGTAGACAATGGACATGAGTCAATTGATATGGGTCATGTTAACATAAGTGAGATTAGAGGTACAACTCTGTTACACTCACTTGTTACGGTACAATGCACCTCACGACGCACCTGGTTGTGCTGCACCCTCTTGGGGTTGGTGTCTGCATGCTCCAAGCCAAGGTAGTACTCCCATGTGTCACGCTTCTATTGGGGGAATAATGGAGGCAAGGGATGCAAGGCGAGAGTGAGAGATGGGTGTGCCAAGGTAGTACTCCCACGTGCCGCGCTGCTATTGGGGGAACAAGGGCTGTTAGCAGGACGACAGGGACAAGAGTCATGTGAGTGGAATAAAAAACGCGCTTCTCAACAAACAAATTCGTAATTTTAGAATCGTAGGCAGGTGGATGCATGCACCATGAATGCCCGTTCCACAAGCCACCTGCTCATTCGACACCCCCACCTTAGCTTTCACACACCTCTCCCTCTCTTCCCCCCCCCCCCACTCACCCTCCTGAAACCCCCCAACCCCCCTACACCCGAAACCTCTTTTGTGCAGCTATTCGCACCGCTGAATGCCTCTCCCTCCCCCCCTCCCCCCCCCCCCTCCGAGCAGCCGGCCTACCTGGCAATCTAGTCTCGCCTCGTTTTTCCCCAACCCACCCCCCCACCCTCCAGCCTACCCGGCAATCTGGTCGCACCTGAAACCGGGCTGCCACAATGCCCGAGTCTTGCAGGTACTCCGATGTGCCCAGTGCCACAAAGGCAAAGTTCCACTGCTTTTGAGTCGACTCAAAAGCAGTGTGCCCAGTGCCACAAAGGCAAAGTTCCACTTGCCAAACTCCTTGTGAGACACCTCCTGTCTGCCTTTGATCCGCTCCTGCCCTCCCTTTTCCCCACCCATCCCCCCACCAGCCAGCCTATTCGGCAATCTAGTCGCACCTGAAACCGGGCTGCCACGATATCCGAGTCCTGGAGGTACTCTGGTGTGCCCAGTGCCACAAAGGCGAAGTTCCACTTGCCAAACTCCTCATCGGGCACCTCCAGTCTCGCTTTGATCCGCTCCTTGATCTCTGCGAGAGTCTCAGTCTCCCCCACCACCACAAAAAAGGGATCCCCGAACGTCTGCAGCTGATGGTGGTGAGGGGAGGAGGAAGGTTAGGGAGAGGGGGAAGGGGGGAGAAGGCGGGGAGGAGGGGGAGGGGGAAGGGGAGAGGGGGGGAGGAGAGAGAAGTGGGGGAATGTGGGGAGGGGTGGTCAACTGGGACCTCCAGCTTGCCTGTGATCCGCTCGTTGATCTCCGCCAGGGTCTCTGTCTCCCCCACTACGAGAAGCGGATCCTCGAACGCCTGCAGCTGTTGATGATAGCACAGGGAGGGTGAAGGGCGGAAAGGGGGGATGGGGTGGGGGGGAACCAAGAGGTCCTAGTTAGGCACCTCCTGTCTCCCTTTTTAGTCGATGCATTTTCTTTATCGGCAGGTGAGTACGTCCCGCTAGACGAGAGCTCGTACATGGGTGGTCTTATGACCAAGCTAGACAGTTTCGAGAGGAGCAGCCAGCGCCGAGTGCATCCATGGCAGAGAGCTTTCTGTGAGTCAGAAGCCGCAAATGCACTCTGCCCAGGCTGTTCCTCTCGAATGTGTCTAGCATGGTCGTAACATCACATCACCCATGTAAGAGCTCTCGTCAAGCGGGACGTACTCATCTGTTGATGAAGGAAATGCATCAAACCACTTGGGCGTCGTAAAACTTCTCTCTGCCCACCTGCAGCCTCTTTGAAAAGGGACACACGATTCACTGCGTCCTACCACGGTAGGCACCCATGGGTCACATCACATGGTACTTGGCGTCTCATGGGAAGCATTGCAAGAGTCCTCACACCAGCCACATATTGAGACGACTCAAAAGTCAGCTTGGTTGGCACTTGGCGTCCCATAGGTCGCAAGCATCCTCACACCAGCCACAATCACTCAGCACGACTGGCACGTGGATAGCTAACTTCGGAGTCAACTCAAAAGTCAGCTCCTCACCAGCCCACAATCATTACGCAAGACTAGCATGTGGATAGCGGAAACTAGGCAGGAAACAGCGCACAGCACACTCAGCATCTGGTTCTGCCCGCCCACATCCTTGCTGAAGTGATTGATACACGTGGATTGACGAGGATGTGACGAACTAATACATCAAATTTATACCATGGATTTGCTTTTGAGTCGACACAAAAGCGAGAATGTGACTAATACATCATACCATGCACTGATGCATCATACCATGCACTAATGCATCATACCATGCACTAATGCACCATACCATGCACTAATGCATCATACCATGCACTAATGCATCATACCATGCACTAATGCATCATACCATGCACTAATGCACCATACCATGCACTAATGCATCATACCATGCATTAATGCATCATACCATGCACTAATGCATCATACCATGCACTAATGCATCATACCATGCACTAATGCATCATACCATGCACTAATGCATCATACCATGCATTAATGCATCATACCATGCACTAATGCATCATACCATGCACTAATGCATCATACCATGCACTAATGCATCATACCATGCACTAATGCATCATACCATGCACTAATGCATCATACCATGGACTGAGACTGCCAACGACTCACCATCTGGTTCTGCCTACCTGCATCTAAAGATTACTCACCATCTGGTTCTGCCCGCCGGCGTCCTTGTTGAAGTGGTACACGTGGATCGCACGGTCTTGAGGGCCCATGTTCACCTCCTCCTCCGGGATCTGCGGAGGGGGGGCGGGGGGCAGGGAGGGAGGAGGGGGGGGGGAAGGGGGGGTGTGATTGGGTGGGGAACACCAGAAAGACGGGGTGCATAATTGTCAGCTCTAGCCGTGTCTTGAGGCCCCATACTAATCTCCTCCTCTGGGATACGTGGAAGGGGAGAAACACAGGAATGGATAAGGAGGAACAACACGAGTATCTAACTGCCCCTCTGGTGTAGTCAAGAGGCCAATCTTAACCTCTCCTGAAGCTTCCCCACTCACAATGCAGTAGTTTCCACCTCAACGCCTCAGCCCGGATGCACCAAAACTGGCCAATGATGTTCTTGATCTGCTGCTCCCTTCGTATCTAGCATTTGCACATGCGTTCTTACGACTCACCTCCTCTGCTCGGATGCTCCAATACTGGTCCTCGATGTTCTGGATCTGCTCTAGGTGTGCCTTTGGTGCTGTAGAGCAGCAAAAAAAAAACGGCAAATTGGCTGCAGCAAACTTCTCCAGCCCATCTCTTACCTCCTCTGCCCGGATGCTCTAGTACTGGTCCTTGATGTTCTCGATCTGCTCTGCCAGAGGTAAGATCTTGCGGGGTGACATTTCCCTCCCCACACAGTGCAGCACTCCGCACCCAACGACTCACCTCCTCTGCCCGGATGCTCCAGTACTGGTCGTTGATGTTCTCGATCTGCTCTGCCAGAGGGAAGATCTTGTAGATCTTGTTGTAGAAGACTTGGAGCATCCGCAGCTCCGCCTTCGGATGAGACAGCTCCACCTGCGAAGGCGACAGAGTAATACAGAGCGGTAAATAGTGGTACAGAGCAGTAACATTGGGATGGAGAATGGGAAAGATCTTGTAGATCTTGTTGTAGAACACCTGCACTGCAGCATCCGCAGCTCTGCCGTGGGGGGAGACAGCTCCACCTGCAAATGCAATCACAGTGGAGGCACGAAGCAGTATAGAGTGATGCACTGCGGTACAGAGGGTGAAAAGATCTTGTAGATCTTGTTGTAGAAGACTTGGAGCATCCGCAGCTCCGCCTTGGGGTGAGACAGCTCCACCTGCGAACGAAGAGGTACAGAGATGCAGAGCAGGTGTACAAAGCGGTGAGGAGCGGTGCAGAGTGTGGGGAAGATCTTGTAGATCTTGTTGTAAAAGACTTGCAGCATCTGGAGCTCCGCCTTGGGTGAGACTGCTCCGCCTGCGAGCAGTAGAGAGCAGTACAGAGCGGTACAGAGCAGTAGAAAGCGGTACACAGTGCGATTGCACTATCGTCAAGTGATTGCACTGCAGTTGCTGTGTGCTGCTGCCAGTCTAAGCGGAACTGCCTGGGCGTTGTTTAAAAGCATCTATACCGTCCGTTACCTTGGACTTCAGGTCCGCGAGCACATCTGCCACCGTTGATTGCTTGGGCAGCCGGATGTTGTGCACCGACACCTGCAAGAGCACCGGCACGGGAATGGTAAGAAAAATAGTTTTGGAAGGGGGGAAAAAACATGGAAAATAAAATCCGGGGAAACGCTGGAGAAATCCGTAGGTGATTTTTTAGTCGACTCAAAAAAGAACAACTCGGGGGGAATAGTGGAGAAATTAAATTGAATGAGAAAGTTGAGCAGGAGTTGAGTTGAGGTCACCTTGCAGCCCGCCTCTCACCTCTTCCGCCTTGCTGTTGTGGAAGGTGATGTTGAGAGTCTTCAGCCGCTGCAGCTCTGGAAGGGGAATGTCCAGCGCCTCAAAGTACAGGATGTCTGACGACTGCCGGTGAGGGGAATAGGGGAGGGGGGAGGAGAGAGGGGAATAGGGGAGGAGGGAGGAGAGAGGGGAATAGGGGAGGAGGGAGGAGAGAGGGGAAAGGGGAGAATGAGAAGGCAGAGAAATGTCCAGCGTCGTACAGGATGTCTGGCGACTCTGTGGGGGAGGGGAATAGGGGAGGGGGGAGGAAAGAACGGGAAGGGGGGGAATGAGAAGGCAGAGGAATGTTCAATGTCTCAACGTAGAGGATGTCTCACGACTGCCGGTGAGGGGAATAGGGGAGAGGGGAGGAGAGAGGGGAATAGGGGAGGGGGAAGGAGAGAGGGGAATAGGGGAGGAGGGAGGAGAGAGGGGAAAGGGGGGAATGAGAAGGCAGAGAAATGTCCAGCGTGTCTGGCGACTCTGTGGGGGGGAGGGGAATAGGGGAGGGGGGAGGAAAGAACGGGAAGGGGGGGAAGGAGAGAGGGGAATAGGGGAGGGGGAAGGAGAGAGGGGGAAGGAGAGAGGGGGAAGGGGGGGAGTGAGAAGGCAGAGGACTGTCCAATGTCTCAAAGTAGAGGATGTCTGACGACTGTGGGGGAATGGAGGGGGAAGGAAGGGGAAGGACAAAGGATAAATGGAAAGAAAGGGATAAATGGAAAGACAGGGATAAATGGGAAGAAAGGGAAATATAAGAAGGGAGGAAGGAAACACACGATCGATAAAACGCCCAACATTTCAAAAGAGGAAACAACTCCCAAGCACTTGATTGGCAGCAGCTTGGGCTGTTGTGAGTTGCAGTCATGCATTAAGTGCTGCTGCTCGCAACAGCAGCTTGTGACCAGGACTACATAGGTGGTTTTTTTAGTCGACTCAAAAATCACTGCAGTTTGTGACCAGGCTACTTGACTTGACGGCTTAACCCCTCTAACTCCCACCAGAAGCCCTGGTCACAAACTAATTGCACCATGCCCACCTGGTGGTAGTGCACAAGAATGTCAGTAAGTGAGTCGACCCTCCGGTACTTGATCGGAGGAGGCTTGAGTTGTGCGTCAAACTCTCTTGTGCCTTAAAACCATAACCTCAACTCTCCTGCCCGCTTCCTCTATCAGCATACCTGGTTGTAGTGCACAAGCATGTCAGTAAGCGAGTCGACTCCCCGGTACTTGATGGGAGGCGGCTTGGGCTGCTGCGAGTAGCAGTTGTGCGTCGTGAGGCGGAGCTTGGACGGGTCGTCTAGCCCTAGCTCCTCTGCCAGCCTTCCCACCACGTCGTCGTACGTGTGCTGCTTGGAGCTGGTACAAGACACAAAATTAATAGAGTCATCGAGGGGGGAGTGTATGGGAATGAAGGGGCTTTGGTGTGTGCAACAAAGCTTGGACGGGTCGTCCAGCCCCAGCTTCTCTGCCAGCCTTCTCACGACATAGTCATATGTGTGCTGCTTGGAGCTGGGAGGGTGAAAAGGGAGGGGAGGGTGCATGAGAGAAATGAGAAGTTGGTGCCAAGGCTGGGCTGGGAAGGGCCGTCCAGCCCAAGCTCCTCTGCCGGCCTTCCCACCACGTCGTCGTACGTGTGCTGCTTGGATCTGCGAGACGGAGGGTGTGGAAGGGCGTACAACAAGGAGCGGGAGAAGGGGGGGGGGAAGGTTGTACTGTGTAGGTGAGAGAGAGGAGGTTGTAAGAGAGAAAGGGATGCTGATGATGTGGAAGGAGGATCTTGGGTTGGCCGTCCCAACCTAAGCTCCTCTGCCAGTCTGCCCCCCAGGACTCTCGTGCTGCTAGGGTGGTGAAAGAGTGCTTGGGTTTTAAGAGGTCGTCAGTGTGCCTCTGTGAGGACAACGCCCATGTGTGCTGCTCGGTAGGGACCCTACGGAACTCACAAGTCAAGGCAGAATGCGTCCTCTTCAGGCTTCTCCACACGACTAAAATCTGGTTGCGAACACACTCCAGGAACAACGGCACGTCCGGTCCGGGTGCCTCACCCCGCTCTCCCTTGTGCTAGGCTCAGCCCTTGTGTGATTTGCCTTAGAACACTCACAGTTCCAAGCAGAAGGCGTCCTCTTTGGGCTTCTCCAGGCGTCTGAAGTGTGCCACCTGCCTTTGAGGCGCCTCAAAAGCACTCTGAAGTGCGCCACCTGCCGGTTGCGCACATACTCCAGGAACGACGGCACATCCGGGTGCCAACGGTGGCTCAAATCCCAAGCACCTCAGAACCTAAACGTCCCGTTAACTTTAGCACCTCCAGACTCACAGTTCCAAGCAGAAGGCATCCTCCTTGGGCTTCTCCAGGCGTCTGAAGTGCACGACCTGCCGGTTGCGCACATACTCCAGGAACGACGGCACGTCCGGGTGCCTCACGGTCTCCTGGCCCGGCCTGGGCACGCGCTGCACGCACACGATGTCGCCGTCCTCCAGCTGCCCGCCCTTGAACGTGATCTTGCGGTCCATGGGCTCGCACATCACACTCGGCTCAAACTTTATCTCCTGGGGGGTGGGAGAGGGGGAGAGTGGTGAGGGGGAAGGGGAGAGGGAAGGGAAGGGAGGGGAGGAATGGGCACAATGTCTTGCGGATCATGGGCTCACACATCACACTCGGCTAAAAGTTTATCTTCTGGGGAGGGGGGGGAAGAAGGGCGGGGAGTAATAGGGGCAAGACGGGGGAGAAACTAGCCGGTCCATGCGCTGACATCGCACTCAGCTCGTGCTTCATCCTTGGGGAAGAGGGTGGGACGGGTGGGGTGGGGTGGGGTGGGGTTGCCGTTGGGGTTGGGGAGGAGGGGAGGAAGATGAGAGAGAGGGGACGAGGGTAACAGGAGAGACTATTGAGTCGACTCAAAAGTCATCTCGTTACAATGTCACACGGAACTTTCGCTTCAAGAAGAACCCTTCTCGCTTGGAGGCTGCCGAAGAGAGCTGGGAATTTTCTCGTTTCTGCTCATGAGGGTTGAACAACAGTAAATTTTGTACTGTTTGTTTTATCTTTCTTTTCCCTTGCCATCATGTGACAAGGGGAGGAAGATGAGAGAGAGGGGACGAGGGTAACAGGAGAGACTACCCAACGCTGTTCTGTCTAGCATGCACTACTCAGAATGATCTCAGTGGGTGCAAGGCCCCCGCATGCCTCGTTGATCTTCCCTCGCACATCGCCCTCTCTCTTAGCAAGCAGTGCAGCAGTGCACCATCTAGCGATCTGGCGCGCACTGTTTTATTCACCACACTGACCTCAAACAGCAGAATCTCCTCGGTGTGAGCGAGGCCGCACATCTCGTTGATCTTCCCTCGCACATCCCCGGGCTTCTGGCCAAGCTTCACGAACAGACGACCCACATACCTGGGGGGGGAGAGAGATGGAAGCAGGGGGCAAGGGAGGGGGGGGAGGGAGGGGGGCACTGGGATAGAAAGCGGAGCTTTCTTAGCTCATCGCTGAGCTTGTGCCCAAGCTTCACGAACAGATGAAACACACACCTGGAAGGACGGGAGATGGAAGAAAAGGGCAGGAGGAGGGGGGGGGGTGGGGGGAGAAGGGGATTAGGGGAAAAGGGGTGCATAAAAGTTTTTTAAAAAGGGGGATTACAGCTTGAATGGCTTCTTGCTCAGACCCATGGCAGACATTCCTAACGGCGTGGGGCAGAGAGGCAATAACACACGAACGAATGGAACCGACACCTGCGCAATATGGGAAATACCTAAGCGTGTCTCTTACTTAAGCGTCTCTGCCACTGGGTCATAAAACTTGAAGAAAAGCAGAATGTCGTCCTTAGCCCTCTCATGCAGAGGAACCAAGGGCCGGTCCTGGCGTCAGTTAAGCAGGGCAGGGGCGAGGGAGAGGTGGAAGGGGAAAACGAAGAAGCGAAAGGGGGTGGGGGGGGGGGGGGGTTGGGGGGGGGGGGGGGTGAACGAGAGCAGAATGTCGTCCTTGGCCCTCTCATGCAGAAGGACCACGGCCGGTCCTGAGAGAAATGTGAGGGATGGGGGGTCGGGGCAACGTGTGAGGTAGTGGTGGAGGGGGGCGGGGGGGAGACCTGGGAGTGGGGGTAGAGAGGAGCGAAGAAGAGAAGAGCAGGATGGCGTCTTTGGCCCTCTCGTGCAAACGAACCACGGGCCGGTCCTGGTGTTGCCAGTTAGGCAGGGGCGGGGCGAGAAGGGGGGGTGGGAGGGGGAGCGAGCAGAATGTCGTCTTTGGCCCTCCCATGCAAAAGAACCACGGGCCGGTCCTGGTGTTGCCAGTTGGGCAAGGGCGGGTAGGCAGGAAGAGGGGGGGTGGAGTGACGACGGAGGGGAGGGGAAGGTGTTGTCAAAAGTAGCGAAAAATAGCAGAATGCCATCCTTGGACTTATTGTGAACCTTGGAAATCGACATACACAAGAAAGAATGTGACAATAGCGAGTGGCTGAATTACAGGGGAGGAAGGCATGCCGTCTAGGAACCAACGCAGGTCCATGGTGTGTGCCTTGCTACCGTTGCAAGATCCCCTCTTCCCCCCCTCCTCTCCCCCTCCGCCCCTCCGCCCCTTCCACCTTTCCCCCCTGACAATAGTGAGTGGCTGACTCACAGGGGAGGAAGGCGTGCCTTCGAGGAACAGGCGCAGGTCCATAGTGTGCGCCTTACTGACCGAGTCCCTCAGCTGCCCCACCTGGTAAGAGTGGAGAGGGGACGAGGAAAGGACGAAGAAAAGGGGGGGGGGAAGAGAGCGTTGAACTGTCAGAGTGCGAGTCCCTCGGCTTCCCTTCTTCCCCCCCCCCCCCTCTTCCCCCACTTCTCGCACTCAAGCTCCCTTCTATCCGCCATGCTCTCCTCTTCCGCATTGAGCGGCCGGTTGGGGCGGTACGTGTGGGTCTGCCGCCGCGCCCACAGCCAGAACCCTTTCCTCACTCACTCTCCCTCCCCCTCTCTTCCCCTAATTCCCCCCAACCCCACCCCCTTCCTGCTCACCGCCATGCTCTCTTCTAGTTTTGAGGCGCCTCAAAACTAGACTTGCTGCTCACCGCCATGCTCTCTTCTAGTTTTGAGGCGCCTCAAAACTAGACTTGCTGCTCACCGCCATACTCTCTTCTAGTTTCTCACCGTCAACCCCCTCACCGTCAAACTAGACTCTAATCCCCCCCAACCCCACCCCCTTGCTGCTCACCGTCATGCTCTCTTCCTCTGCGTTGAGCGGCCGGTTGGGGCGGTACGTGTGGTTCTGCCGCCGCGCCCACAGCCAGAAGCGCTGCCCCGCAGCCGGAATCCCCAGGTCCCTTTCCACCTCCAATTTAAACTCCGCAAACCGCATCTGCTTCTGCACGCGGAAGCTCTTCACCCTCTCGTGGTCCACGAGGTCGAAGAAGAGGTCACGCCCAATCTGCTCCCTCAAATCCTCGTCTCGTGAGATCTTGATGACGGTAAACAGGTGCGCTTCCGCCTTCTCCTTCCGCTTCCGCTCCTTTTCGTCCTGCTCCCGCTTCAAACGGGCCTGCGTTGTTGTAGAAAGGGAACGGACAAAAGAGGACACAAGGGGGGGTTAGGGGAGGGGATTATGGATATAGATCAACAGGACAGGGAGGGAGGGAGGATCACTGGGAAGCTCTTGGCCCTCTCGTGGTCCACGAGGTCGAAGAACATGTCGCGCTCGATCTGCGCTCTCAAATCCTCGTCTCCTGAGATCTTGATGATGGTAAACAGACGGGCTTCCGCCTTCTCCTTCCGCTTCCGCTCCTTCTCCTCCTGCTCTCGCTTGAGGGAGCCGGGCCTGAGGGAGTGGGAGGGAGTGGGAGGGAGTGGGAGGGGAGAAGGGGGGGCGGGGAAAGAGGACACACGGGGGGAATTGGGGGGGCGGGGGAGGGGGAGGGGGGAAGGAGGGGATATAGGTAAACAGGACAGGGTTGAGGGGAGGATCACGCGGAAGCTCTTGGCTCTCTCGTGGTCCACGAGGTCGAAGAAGAGGTCGCGTCCAATCTGCTCTCGCAGGTCCTCGTCCCGCGAGACCGGACCTATAGAGAGGGAGGGCAAATCTAGGACAAGAGGGTTGTGAGATCTCTGCCAAAATCAGCCTGCACACGCGCATTTGTGGTTGGTTGCCTGCCATGCTGCAGCCCTTAACTAAGACAAACGCCGCTTACCCGCAGGTGCTGTGCAATGTCGTTCTCAGTGACTCTACAGAGGATGTTGGTCTGGTCGCACTCCCGGATGCACACCAGCATGTACGCGTTGGATTGGAGGTGCTTCAATGCATGCTGACACCGCACTACTGTTGTAACCCGTGCAATGTCTCACCCTTAGCTATGACTGGGCACACATATTACCCTCAAGTGCTGTGCATTGTCGTTCTCGGTGACGCTGCACAGGATGTTGGTCTGGTCCCACTCCCGGATGCACACCAGCATGTACGCATTGGATTGGAGGTGCTTCAATGCATGCTTACACTGCACTACTGTTGTAACCCGTGCAATGTCTCACCCTTAGCTATGACTGGGCACATATATTACCCTCAAGTGCTGTGCAATGTCGTTTTCGGTGACGCTGCACAGGATGTTGGTCTGGTCGCACTCCCGGATGTACACCAGCATGTAGGCGTTAGAGAACTTGGTGAACTTGAAGGGCGGGTGGTTGAACCCCGGGTTCGTCTGGCTCAGCTGGGGGTGGCACAGAGGGGAGAAACGGTGGGATGGGATGGGATGGGATGGGATGGGATGGGATGGAGGTGGAGGGAGCAAGAGAGGGATGGTCGGATGTGCACGAGCATGTAGGCGTTGGAGAACTTGGTGAACTTGAAGGGCGGGTCACATCCTCCCTGGTCAGCTTAAGAATCCCCTTCTCCTCTCTTTCATACCTCACCTTCTCCCCTCTCACCAACACCTTACGCCCTCTCCCCAGCACCTCACCTCCTCCTCTCCCCCGTACTGCTCGTCCAGGGCTCGCTTCACATCCTCCTTGGTCACTCGCTCATCGTCAAACTTGAACCTGGATGGGGGAATGAGAGGGAGGGCGGATGAAAAGGCGGGGGAAAGGGAGGCCTCTGAGACAACTCGCAATCTTCATGACTTGACGGCGTCCCCCTTTGTCACTCTCACGCTTTGTCACTCTCACGCTTTGTCACTCTCACGCTTTGTCACTCTCACGCTTTGTCACTCTCACGCTTTGTCACTCTCACGCTTTGTCACTCTCACGCTTTGTCACTCTCACGCTTTGTCACTCGCTCATTGTCAAACTTGAACCTGAAAGGGGGGAGGAAGAGGCGCAAGCGTACAGGGTTTGTGGAGGGCAAAGGGGAAGCGATGGGGCAGGCAGGATAAGGGCAAGGGGCGAAAGCTGAGGGTTGGGGCAAGGAGCGAGCAGGGAGAGCGGGGGGGAACATACTGAAGGAGCAAGGATGGGAGGAAGAAGGCAGAATCCTACATACCACTGCTCTGTGAGGTTTGGTCGAATGAAGGCGTAGTAATGACCCCCGTGCACTCCCCCACTGTGCACCAGAACACTGTTCAGGAGGGGCGGGGGGGGGGGGAAGGGGGGGGTCGGGAAGGACGGGCGGGGTGGGGGAGGGGAGGCTGGGATAGCAAGGTAGGCCATTGAGTCAGCTCCGAATGCCGCTCGGAAGCCAAGCCAAGTTATTCCCTGAATCTATAATCCCTTGAATACCACCCCACCTGTGCAGCTGCCAGCTGGTATAGGTTGCGCCCGGCCCTGTCTGAGTCTGGTGTGATCGCCCCTGCTCACTGACGAACCAACCTAAAACCCTTCATTTCCACCCACCTGTGTAGCTGGTACAGGTTGCGCACGCCCCTGTCCGAGTCCGGTGTGAGGTACTTGCCATCGCCCCTGTCCAAGTCCAGCTCAAGGGGGAACTCGTAGCGGTCGTTGATCTGGAAAGGGGGATGTGGAGGGGGGAGGGTGGGGGGACGAGAGCAGCAGAGGTGACTTTTGAGTCGACTCAAAAGCCATCTGAAAAGGGCATGTGGAGGGGGGAGGGTGGGGAGACGAGAGCAACAGGGGGCCTCAGGAGGCAGACGAGGGATCGCCCCTGTCCAAGTCCAGCTCCAGAGGGAGCTCGTAGCGGCCGTTGATCTGAAAGGGGGGAGGGGGAGGGTAGGGGGAGGAAAGGGGAGGAGACGAGAGGAACAGGGGGCATGAGGAGGCAGACGAGGGACCGTCCCTGTCCAAATCCAGCTTCAGCGGGAACTTGTATCGGTCCATGATCTAGAAACGTGGGGGGGGGGGGGGGGTGGGAGGAGGTGAGGAGGTGAGAGGAAGAGGGGAAGAGGGGAAGAGGGGAAGAGGGGAAGGGGGGAAGAGGGGAAGAGGGGAAGAGGGGAAGAGGGGAAGAGGGGAAGAGGGGAAGAGGGGAAGAGGGGAAGAGGGGAAGAGGGGAAGAGGGGAAGAGGGGACGCAAGAAGGTGGCAACAGGGCCATCGCCCCTGTCCATCAGATCCAGCTCCAGAGGAAACTCGTCTCGGTTGTTGATCTAGAACGGGGGGGGGGGGGGGGGGGGATAGAAGAGGAGCGGCGGAGACGAGAGGAACAGGCGGCATGAGGAGGCAGACGAGGGACCGTCCCTGTCCAAATCCAAGTGATCAGAAAGGGGGGGGGGAGACGAGGGGGAGGAGAGACACAAGTAAGGAACCGAGGAGGGGTTAGAGAACCCCAAGAAGGCAGCAATGGGGGCATACCTTGACCAGTTGTATTTTGAGTCGACTCAAAATACAACTGGAGGGGTTAGGGAACCCAAAGAAGGCAGCAATGGGGGCATACCTCGACTATGTTTTCTCGCACAAAGTCGAACTACAACTGCTCAGCTGAGTGTGCACTAAGCGTCAAGAGATTTAAAAAAGGATCAAGTCAATCTAATGTCTGTTAGTCTGTCTTACCTTAACCATGGTGTCTCGCACGGAGTCGAACTCAAACGGCTTCAGCTGCAGCTGTGTGTGCATTAAACGTCAAGAGATTAAAAAATGATCAAGTCAATCTTATGTCTGCTAGTCTGTCTTACCTTGACCATGGTGTCTCGCACGAAGTCGTACTCGAACCGCTTCAGCTGCAGCTGCAGCACCGGGGGGAAGTCAACGAACAGCACCCCCTTCTTAGCGTCCTGCGAGAATACAAGGCAACGGTGTCCAAGGTAAAGGGAAGCAGTGAGACAGAGAAACCAGCTGCAGCACCGGGGGGAAGTCAACAAACAGCACCCTCTTCTTGGCGTCCTGCGATGGGTGGATAGATAGGAGGCGCGGGGGCAATGATAAACCACAAGTCAAGAGGGGGCAACAGCGGGACAGAGCAACCATACCTGGTAACTAAACTGTAACCATACCTGGTAACTAAAACTGCCTGGTAACTAAAACTGTAACCATACCTGGCCTGTAACCATACCTGGTAACTAAACCTGTAACCATACCTGCAGCCCGTGCTGCTCTGCGTGGTACTTGTTGTCGCCATCCAGCCGCTCCACCTCCACGTACTTGTCAAAGCTCGCATACACGTCCCGGCACCCCTTCACGTCCAGCTGGAGGTCTGGAATGGGGAGAGACAGCGGCAGAGAGACAGCGGCAGAGAAACAGCGGCAGAGAAACAGAGACAGAGAGACAGAGGCAGAGAGACAGAGGCAGAGAGACAGAGGCAGAGAGACAGAGGCAGAGAGACAGCGGCAGAGAGACAGAGGCAGAGAGACAGCGGCAGAGAGACAGAGGCAGAGTGACAGCGGCAGAGAGACAGAGGCAGAGAGACAGCGGCAGAGAGACAGAGGCAGAGAAACAGTGGGAGAGAAACAGGAGCAGAGAAACAGTGGGAGAGAAACAGGAGCAGAGAAACAGTGGGAGAGAAACAGGAGCAGAGAAACAGTGGGAGAGAAACAGGAGCAGAGAAACAGTGGGAGAGAAACAGGAGCAGAAAGACTGGCACAAGTCAACCGTGAGTCAACTAAACGGCCACCCACATAAAAGTCCTGGCACCCCTTCACGTCCCGCTGCAGGTCTGGAAGGAACGGGGGGAGGCAGGGGCAAGAAAATCCTTAGGTGTATCCTGATCCAACTCGCACGCACGTCCCGGCACCCCTTCACGTCCAGCTGCAGGTGTGGTAAAGAGAAACGAAGGGCAAGGGCAGAGATAGGGGTCCAGCCGCGCACAGATGTTTCTGCGGGTGATAAGGTACGGCTGCTGAGTGTTTTTGAGAATTCTCAAAAACACCCTGCTGAGGCGCCTCGAGAGTGGGAGTGTTCTAAGACGGCTAATTACAAGGCAGGGATACAGATATAAGTAGTAGAAGGAGCAGGCAGTGCCGATCACTCACCATAGAAAGACTCCTTCCGGGTCGACTTGTACTCCACATTGTCGCACTCGATATAGTTCATAACGTGCCCTTCAAACAGCTTCTCTATGGTCCCCTCCACCACCGTCCCCTTCATCTTGTCCTCCAGCTTCTCACACAGCACCCGGTTCAGCTCCTGCACGTCGTGCTGCAGAAACGAGTCATAAGTGTCCCACCCGAAACTTTTAGTTAAGTCTTTCGTTGCCACGCTGGTGTCTGTGTACTGGAGCTTATAGAACAGGCTCTGGAGCGCCAGGGGGATGCTGCTGGAGGGAAGCTCGTTCTCTGAAGTCGGCATGTGGTAGACAGCCTTCCGAAAGAAGGGGATGTGGTAGAGGGTTTGTAGCAGGGAGTTCATGTAGCACGTGGCGCCCTGGTTCTTTAACCCCACGTATCCAGTCTCCTTTTTGGAGTCGTAAGCCCAGTAATCCACGCGCACGTTCACTTCAGCCTCCAGGATCACAGTGTCGTTAACGAGGAAGCCCTTAGAGGGGTCGTAGAGGTCCTGCAGCGGCATGAAGGACGTGAAGCCCCAGTCGCTCTCCCTCGCACTGAACTGGTGGCTCGTGTCTGGGGGAGGGGGGGGAAGGGAAGAGGGGGGGGAGAGAAGAGGGGGGGGGAGAGAAGAGGGGGGGGGAGAGGAGAGTGGGTGGGAGAGGAGAGTGGGTGGGAGAGGAGAGTGGGTGGGAGAGGAGAGTGGGTGGGAGAGGAGAGTGGGTGGGAGAGAAGAGTGGGTGGGAGAGGAGAGTGGGTGGGAGAGGAGAGTGGGTGGGAGAGGAGAGTGGGTGGGAGAGGAGAGTGGGTGGGAGAGAAGAGTGGGTGGGAGAGAAGAGTGGGTGGGAGAGAAGAGGGGGGGAGGAGGGGAAGAGGGAGTCCAGGTAAGAACACGGCAACCCAGCAGCCCTTAGCGAGGTCGTAGAGCTCCTGCAGCGTTATGAAGGAAGTGAAAGCACCAGTCGCTCAATACTCTCTTCCACCACCATACGCCTCTCCCTACCTCCCCCTCCGCACGTACCTCTGCGCACGGACATCTTGCAATCATGCAGGTAACTGGTTGATCAGCGACAGCACAAAATGTGCACGCTTGCCTCTCCCTTTCTCCTCATCGCCACGCACACGCCCCCCCCGGCCCCCCCGCCCACACATACAAGCGTACCTCTGCGCACGGATATCTTGTGGTCGTAATGGTTGATCAGCGGCAGCGCAGAGTGCGCGCCCTTGCCTCCGCCCCTCTCTCGCTTGACTTGCTTCCTTGCACCCTTCTTCTCTGACCCTGAGTCCTGACACTAGCCCGAACCCTTATGCACGCACCTCTGCGCACGGACAGCTTGCGGTCGAACTGGTTGATCAGCGACAGCACAAAGAGCACGCTCTTGGCTCTGTCCCTCGCTCACTCCTTCTGTTCATCCTAAAGCCCTCCGCTCCCAACCCCCCCCACATACACACCTCTGCGCACGGACAGCTTGCGGTCGTACTGGTTGATCAGCGACAGCACAGAGTGCGCACTCTTGCCTCTGTCCCTCTCTCTACACCTTGCCCTAGTTGCCTCCTCCCTATCCCTCCCCCCCCCTCCCCCCCCCTCTCTCCCACCCTACCTCTGCGCACGGACAGCTTGCGGTCGTACTGGTTGATCAGCGACAGCACGAAGTGCGCGCTCTTGGTCCAACCGGGCGGCAGAGTGGTGGCATCTGCCACGTCAAGATACACTGAGAGCTGCTCTGCTTGGTTGTTACCACGTGGGAAGATCAGCAGTCGCCTGATTAGGAGTCAGAGAGGGGAGAGAAGCATGGGAAAGGAGGAAAGGTGACTTTTGAGTCGACTCAAAAGTCAGGGCGGGAAAGGAGGAAAGGGGCAGGGTGGCGGCATCTGCCACGTCAAGACTCAAGACAGACTGGCAGCTGCTCTGCTTGGGTGTTGCCACGTGGGAAGATCAACAGCCGCCTGGATGAGCGACAACAAACGGAGGGAACAGGGAAGTGGCATGTCAGGGGGTAAGGGGGGCAGAGCGGGCGGCAGGATCTGCCATGTCAAGACAGACCGACCCCGACAGCTATTTTTGAGGCGCCTCAAAAATAGACTCCTCGAGCGGGCAGGATCTGCCATGTCAAGACAGACCAACCCCGACAGCTATTTTTGAGGCGCCTCAAAAATAGGCTCCTCGAGCGGGCGGCAGGATCTACCATGTCAAGACAGATCGATCCCGACAGCTGCTCTGCTTGGGTTGGGCGTTGACTTGCACTGCAAGCAGGGGCCGGGGATCTGGGGATACGGATGACAGCAGATTTTTTTAGGCGCCTCAAAAAAATTTAGGCGCCTCAAAAATAGACTCATGCAATGCAAGCAGGGGCCGGGGATCTGGGGATACGGATGACAGCAGAATATGCCAACAGAGCAACAACACGCACACACAACAGTTGCACCCTCCCAGCATGCACGCACGCACACACACACGCGCGCGCCCGCACACACACACACACAAACACACACACACACGCACACACACACACACACACACACACACACACACACACACCAGTTGTAGTGCCCCCCCTCCCCACGCAAAGAACAGACGCACCAGTTGTACCCCCCGACCATGAAGGAGGGCTTGGAGAAGATCTTGCGCTCAGCCATGTTGGAGAAGTTGTCGATTTGCCACCGGAAGGTGCGCGACAGGGGGTCGTCTGCAGGGGGCAGCTCAGGGCCAATGGTGGCTGGCGCGACCAGGCCAGGGGGGGACGCGTCGGTGGCAGGGGGATCGGTGGGGGACTCCGCTGCAGTCATAGTCAAATCACGGGGGAGAGGGGGAGAGAAGTGGGAGAGAGTGTGAGTAGGGCCATGGGAAGGTGCACGACAGGGGGTCGTCTGCAGGCAGCAACTCAGGGCCAATGGGGGCTGGCGCGAGGCCAGGGGGGGGGCAATGTTGCAGAAAGGGGGGGGGTTAGGGGGACTCCGTTGCAATTGCAGGAAGGGGGGAGGGGGCGGGGCGGGGTTGGGGAGGGTTGGGGGGGTATGTGGAAGGGGAAGTAAAAAAAAACCCAGCAGGTCACGTCCGATGGGCCTGGGGCGACCACGCCAGGGGCTGAATAAGAAAACGAGACTGAAAAACGGCAAGTACGGTACCCACCACCCACCTTCCATGGAGTCTGCCCCCCCGCGAGAGGCCAGCTCCCCGTCTTCTCCCACCTCCACGCTTCCGATCTGCGCTTCCCCCATCTCTTCCGCCATGTGTTCCGCCGCCTCCCGCGCCTCCCGCGGATCCCCTCCTTCCCGGGTCCGGCCTGGCGGATCCGGTCCCCCCATGTCCTGATCGTTGTCCCCGCTAGAAGGGATCCCGCTATCCTGCATTAGCACGTCCACTGCCGCGCCCTGGAGCCGCTCCTGCTCCTGCCACGAGGACGCCACGAGTGAAAATTCCAAAAGCAGAAAATTACAGAAATTGACTCTTGAGCATACCGGAGTGACGGAGTCAAAAGACATGCACCATGTTTCGCTGCATGTATGTCCGAACAAACAATACGCAGATACTCATGCATGCAGATAGGGATCTCCCTGACGCTCAAACAGACGATTACTATTTTCACGGAAGCATGCTTGCTCTTGCTGTTTGCTCTTGCTGTTTCCTGATAGCGTTACTGACGAGACGGTAACCTAATGAAGGAAGCATGCTTGTTCTTATAAAAGAAGCTGGTGATCGAAGGTGATCATACGGATTGCAATCAGGGATTCAGCGGAGGAGAGAGAGCCGCTCCAACCCAGGCCTAAACGGCACAACGATCCCGCGACAATCACCCTCGCTCCCTCATCGCGCTCGTGCGAATTTCGCAGCAACCTCTGATCCTTCGCGACGTCGCCTTTCGCGATAAACTTTACCGATAGTGCCTGCTCAACGGCTCTCACGGAACGGCGAGATTCCCTCACGAAACCCTAAAATGAAATGATCATGCATCCATCACACGAGACTTCGTACCGCTGCGATACCCGTGAGGGTGATTGGCAACAAGGTACGATACAAGGCCTCAAATCTCCCTATAATCTCTCCTAATGCATACGACGTACCTGAAACATTCAAGCATGTTAATGTTCTATGACCATTTCATACGAAGCTGATTCCTACCTCTGGCGAAGGAAGGGGAGCAGTCATCTTGCCTTAATCCCCTGAAATTTCTCCGGCGGAGAGGAAAAGACGCAGATCGAAACCAGAATAAGGTAACCACCTTAGTAGCCGACACAGGAAGTTGAAATATATCCTTGTGAATTCCTAGCAGGCACCCGTAATGGATTTACAAAACACTAGGTTCGGCGAGTCTCTAGTCCCGAGCTGAGTCTGGGACTAGAAAAGAAGAACGGGAAGTGGAAGACTTGGAAATTCGGACCTCGAAATAAAGAGCTATGGATCCTAGAAAGCTGCTTCACGGCTCACAGGAGATCTGCCTTGTACAGATGGTCTGAAAATTCGCGAAGAGAAACCGAAAGTTACCAGGGTAAGAAGTGGTCCTCGCGAGCAGAATCTCTGGGGTTCGACAAGTTCGCGAACTGCTTGGTTTTGTCCGTGCTGTTGACAGGCGAAGGTGTTGCAGGGAACAAAACGTGTGGAGTAGGTCTAGTCCCGAAATTCGCACAGACGGAAAGCACGTTACACCCAGACTGCACTTTCGCCAACTTTTTGTTGAGGGCTGCGTTTTCCCCCTGACTCTGGGATCTCTATCTCCCCAGTTTGCCACGAATTCCGAGGTACCTCGCCTTATTCCTCTAGCTTCACCAGCTTCGCTGACTTCACTTCTGAGAAAATGGTGCCATAAACTTTCTCGCTTTCTCGCTTCAGCTTACGTAGGCTGTCTTGATGGATGCTAGATTCTCTGAATTCCGGTTGAAGCTTCCCTTGTTGAAAACCGTTCATAGAAATTGAGAGGAGTCTTTATTGACTCGATAACTAGCTTGCAACAGAGACGATGAAGGTCAAGATTATTGGTGAGTATTGATTGGCAGAGACCCGAGTGGGGCCTAATGAGCAAGCCTATGCTGGCATGATCGTCAATTTCTGAACTCAGCAACCTCCCCAGCAGTACTTACTTACCATCTTGCATGGCTTCTGTTCTTTCTTTCCCTCCCATCCTCTCCCACATGTCCACCTCCTTGCTTCACGTCGTGCGTCTGTTCAACCACAAAGGGTACGTACACGAACGCAGGGTACACGGAATCCTTCCTCCATAGCCTACTTTGAATTCCGTGCATCACTCTCCTTTATTCGTTCTGATCTTTTTCCTTGTCTTTTTCCTTGTCCTTTTCCTTATTCTTTCTCTACTTGCATGCCCCTCCTCGTTCTTTCCGTGCTGCTTTTGTTCTTATGCAACCGCACATTGCCTCACTCTGCCCTCACAACATTGTGTTTTGCTACTCTCCTTTCCCCTTTCAGATGGCATGCAGTGGCCTCGTGGACATGGGGGGCTCAGGATGATCCATGCAATCATGTGTGTTTCTCGCGTTTTTCCTTCCAGATGGCATGCAGTAGCATCATGGACATGGGGTGCTCAGGATGACTCATGTGGCATTTGCCGCATGGCCTTCGATGGCTGCTGCCCCGACTGCAAGATGCCTGGCGACGACTGCCCTCTCAGTAAGTCTTCTGTCGATCTGAATGCCCGGAGGTGCTACATGTTGCGCCAGGCACTGCCACTGTCTGTCATTTCATGCTCGTTTAACTGATTAATTTTATCTGTGCTTTTGTCCCCGTTATTTTACATGTTATTGCATGACGCAGTATGGGGTATGTGCTCGCATGCCTTCCACCTGCACTGCATTCTCAAGTGGGTCAACTCGCAATCCCCTCGCCCGCTCTGCCCCATGTGCCGACGAGAGTGGCGCTTCAGAGCATAGAAGGAAATGCCACTCACTCGTCTTGTGTCATAGCATTATGGTGTAACATGAAACGCTGTTACATAGTAATGCTGTCACGTGCATCACTGCACTGCATTCTCAAGTGGGCTAACTAGACTTTTCTTCCAACCCATGTGCTGAAGGGAGTGGTCCAGGCGGCGTTTCAGACCTTAGATAACACTGCATAATCTATCTACCTAACGCTGCTAGGACATTGCCTGTAGCACACAATAACTGGCGCCTCACATCACAGCTTATGCATGGGCATGCTGCTCCAATTTGGGGGAGCTGCAGGCTTGCAAGTTGCAAGTTGCATGTAATGTGTAACAGCAGAGCCCTGCACTGGACACATGGTGTCAGACACCAGCAGTTGTAATATTTACAGTACCCATTCTCATGAATGGTAATGTGGGGCTGCACAAGAAAATGAATCGCAACGTCATACTGAAGAGGTGAAGGAAAGGCTGCCGTAGATGTACGGTACGTCAATAATTATTTGGCTGAGTATAAAATGCATGTACACTGTCACGCAAGTGGACGGGTGGTGTCATGCAGGTGGAAGGGTGGGGTCATGCAGGGGGAAGGGCGGGGTCATGCAGGGGGAAGGGTGGGGTCTCTAACAATCTGCGGCTTGAAGTCCGGGCGGCAGTATCGGTCCAGAAGATCTCGGTACATGTCGTACCGAGCTGTCATTTGAAAGCCCCACTTGTCGCGCACCTGGAAAGAGTCGGGGGTGGGGGGTGGGGGTGGGTGGGGGTGGGTGGGCCGGGGGGGGGAGGAGAGGGGGGGAGGAGGGGGGTTGAGTGAGGGGAATGAAGGTTGGGCAATAGAGTGGCAACATGATGGGGTGTGACATTTGAGGTGACCCAAACAGGCAATCAGACAGGCTGTATATCTAGGTAGCTGCCATCTGAAAGCCCCACCACTTGTCTCGCACCTGGCGCGCACAGACTTGAGTCTAGATCAGCAGTCACGTGCCCATCCGTGAGGAGCCTATTTTTGAGGCGCCTCACAAATAGACTAGAGTCCAGATCAGCAGTCATGTGCCCATCTGTGAGAAGCCTATTTTTGAGGCGCCTCACAAATAGACTCGAGTCCAGATCAGCAGTCATGTGCCCATCCGGCACCAAGAGGCAGCAGGGGGAGTGCCACAGACACCCCACCTGCACTCCCGCAATCCTGCATTTTTCCACTTATTGTTCTTACACCCACCTGTCGACATAGGTTGAGATCCAAATCAGCGATCACGAGCCCATCCCGGCACGTAGAGGCAGCAGGGGTGGCCACGGCACTACCACCTGCATCCCTGCATGTCTGCACCCAAGTTCTTACACCTACCTGGCGGCACAAGTTCAGGTCCAAATCGGCGATCAAGAGGCCATCCCGGCACCTAGAGGCAGCAGGCGTGCGCGAGCCGTCAGGAGCAGCGAAGTAGGAAGAGCCGTAGAAATGCCCAAAGTCGGCGTGGGCTGGCCGGCAGTCGCCAGAGGTGAAGGCATGGGGGAAGGTCTCTGTGCCCACGCGGTTGATCGCGCCCACATAAACGCTGTTAGCTATGGCAGCGCAGCGCGCCTATGAAGGGCGGAGATAGGGAGGAGATAGGGGGGAGATCGAGAGGAGATAGGGGGAGAGAGCGGGATAAGACGGGCAAGAGAGGGATGTGAAGCAAGGGCGTGGGGGAGAGTCTCTGTACCCATGTGGTTGATAGCTGCCACGAACACACTGTTGGCTATGGCGGTGCAGCAATGCAGTGAGCCTGGGAGTGAGTGGTGTGGTGTTAGAGACATTAGAGAGCTTTTGAGTCAACTTAAAAGGAGCTTTTGAGTCGATTCAATTTCCAGCACGAACACACTGTTGGCAATGGTGGCATAGCGAGTCTGGGAGTGAATGGCGTGGTGTTAAAGACGTAAGAGAGGCAAGAGGAATGCGAGACACGAGTAAACCCCCCAAAACACCTCCACACCTTCCCCTTTCCCCCCTTCCAACTCAACGCTACAGGCCACAGGGGCTCACTGAGCCCCCCCACAGAAGCAGACGGATGGCAAGACCTCTGCCCCATTGAAGGTAAAGCACATCCAGTTGAGCAGATGGTGGCGACCATAGCATATTGACAGCCACGGGGGACCAACCCCTTGCAGCAGAACTATACCCTCACCTCCCACTTTTGAGTCGACTCAAAAGCATACCCGCACCTCCCTCCACTACCTCCTCTCCTCCCTTCCCATGCCTCCTCTGCTCACCTCAATCGGCCATAAGGGCTCACTCAACCCTCCCACAGTAGCCGAAGGGTTGAAAATTATCTCTGCCCCGTTGAGTGCAAAGCCCATCCAGTTGAGCGGGTGGTGGCGGCCGTAGCAGATATTCACAGCCACCCGGCCGAACTCGGTCTCAAAGACTGGGTGGCCCGTGTTGCCCTCCATGTAGTAGGTGCTCTCGTTGAAGTCACCCACCCGAGGGATGTGATTCTGAAAAGAAAAGAAAGGGAAGGAGTGAGCAGATATTGACAGCCCCTCGGCCCAACTCGGTCTCAAAGACTGGGTGGCCCGTGTTGCCCTACATGTAGTAGGTGCTCTCGTTGAAGTCACCCACCCGAGGGATGTGATTGTAATGAGGGAAGAGAGGGAGGGGATGGTGTGAAGGCAGGGCAAGGGGTGCTTTGTGAGTTGCGCAAATGGAGCTGGAGTTTCTTCGCGTGCAGTAAATGCTCTCGTTATAGTCACCCACCAACACATCTCTCCCCTTCACCCCTTTCCTCCACTCTCCTCCTCCTCCTCCCCCCTCCCCCCCCCTCCTCCTCCTCCTCTGCTCTCACCCTGCGGTGCCGCCCAATGATGTTTCCCTTGTTGCCTATAATAACATCAGTGTTCCACACAGTGTCAACTCAACCCCTCTCTCCCCTACACCCCCTTTCTTCCCCTCGGCCCCCCACCCTCTCCCCCCCCCCCACCCGTCCTCTCCCCCCCTTCCTTCTCTCACTCACCTTGCGGTGCTTCCCAATGATGTTCCCCTTGTTGCCGACAATAACGGCAGTGTTCCACACAGTGTTGCCGTGAGTCACGTCCCTTTCAAGCACGTGGCTTATAATCACCATATTGTGCTTTCTCGCCAGCTCACACACCAAATCCACTGTAGGACCTGCCTTACTTCCCCCCCCACCGCTCCCGCTCCTGCTGCTGCTGCTGCTGCCACTACCGTTACATCTCACCCCATTATTATCATCACCCCCGTTACTGCCACTAGCCTCCGGAACCACCTCGGCAAACTCGCACCAGTGCTTTTCCCGCGTGCAGAACGCGAAGGGCATGGGCCAGGCCTCCTGTAGGCACAGGATTTTAACCCCGCACGACGCTGCTATGTTGATTATCTCTGTCACTCGGCTCATTATCGCGCTGCGCTGCTCCGCGAAAGGCGCTGTGGTGGGGAGGACAATACGGTTCTGGACCAGAGCTGCTCGAACGACACGTGGCTCTCGAAGCTGCTCGCGTGCAGCGCCGAACCTGAAGGCCTGGTTTGGAAGAGGGATGAAGTATCTGGGCAGGAGATAAGACGAGGGACATTCCTTGAGAGTTGAAAAGATAAAAAGTGTATCAGCGGCTCGGGGAAAATCGCTTCGACTAACCAGCATAGCTGAAGGACAGCAAGTTATTCAAAAGCCGATAGTTTCTGCTCAAAGGTACTCAAGATGCCGAAGCAGAGTTACCTGTAGGTCGAACTCGAGGCGTTGTGCTGCCTCCACTGCTGGTTCCGGGAGGGTTACTGACGAAGCCAGCCCTTCACAGTTCGAATGACCATGAAGGACGCGAAAGGCTTCCTGCTCACGGGGAATGGGATAACGAGAAACAGCGGGAGGGTGACTGAAGCGAAGACACTGAGAGGGGTACAGAAGAAGCCAGCTCTCTACCGTTCGAATGACCCTGGAGGACGCGGAAAGTTTCCTGCTCGCAAGAAATGAAGGACAATTAATAGTTGCTCTCACCGAAATTCTCTGGAAAATAGAACCACTTTTTGAGGTTGCTAGACGAGAAATTCCAGCGAGAAATTCAGCGGGAGCTCTCAAGTCCCAAGCTAAGATACCTCGAGTTTATCCTTGGGAAGATGAGCTTTCAGCATATCTTCCAGGGTCTCGTGGCCGCACAAGGACCCATCGGGAAGCGACGACGCAGCATCCTTGGCAGAGTCGCTTGCCATGACAACTTCAAGGTGAAGATTATTTCAAGGTGAGCCAAGCAGTCTGTAGCAACGCCTTTGATACAAGGCCCTGATGGATTCACGATGTCAGTAAATAGTGCCGTGGCCAGTGCTAAGGTAAGTATGGACCAGCCTTGGCAAAGTTCCCCACTTAGTCTGCTGAGAAGTAGGCTGGCGATAAGGAATCTGTGAAATAGAAATGTGTGAATTGGTGTATGAGGAGTTTCTCGTGCCTGACATAGAAAATTCTTCCCTTGGGAATGTCAGGCAGAGCACAGCACACACATCATCAGACAACCCCTAGGCTACAGATTTTGACAGCAGTGAGGACGTTTTGCCTTCACGCGACTGGCTGAAAAGACTCGGATATTACACTGTAACCGACGAAAGGGTTGGGAGCCTAGAGTGTTGAACCAATGAGAGTAGCTTCCTGACGACGACCAATCCGCGCACAGCACGCGTCGATGCGAGAGTAGTCGGAATTTTGTGGATGGTAAGCGATCGCGACCGGGTAACCAGTGTTCTATTGCTCGTAGCGACGTTGATTCGCGAAATGCTGCGGGGAACACGCGACGAAGTACTCATTCCAAAAAGCCTACTCTACTCTTATCATATCATAGTAGGAAAGTTACTACCCAGCCCCAAGCAGCTCTTCCGATTGGAGGTTCACGATCGTTGCGAAAAGAAGTGCAATTTGGGGGAGAAATGAGCCGAGCTGAAAAGTGTGCTGAAACACGCCCCTAGTTCTCTGATGAGCACCATTCACCTAAGGGCGTGGTACATGGGTTGCGCAACCCAGGAAAGCGCAACTCGAGTTGCGGTTTTCGCGGAAATCACCCACTCCGAAGCTGGAACATCGGGTTGCGTAACTTTTCATAAATGCCACAACCGGGCTGGCACATCGGGTTGCGGAACCCGAATCCGAAATTTTGAATCGGTCGCAAGCGAGAAAAATACATCAAGATACCTTTCGCCAAGCTCACACTGTTCGCGTGCAAGACGGGCTGTCGCTTCGCAATCTTCGTGCATGCAAAATATTTGAGCGGGCAATGTGGGTCTCTTTCGGTTGCGCAACCTGGGTTGCGGTATCGTCTGCAGGCACGAAACCCACTGGGTTGCGCAACCTAACCTCCATCGTCACGAATTCTCTGGGCGAGGTTTGGCGAGCTTAGTAACCTGGGTGGGTTGCGCGACTTTCATGGGTTGCACAACCCATATACCAGCCCTAAGTCGATCCTACTACCATTCCCGTATCGCAATAGAAGCCTCATCGACCGGCCTCCACCCACGTCTGACTCATAGCTTAGGCTCCTCGAAGCATACGTATCTTTCAAGGCCTCGTCCACTTCATTTCTCCACTCGCACTAAAATATTCCTCACTCTCGGCCTAATGTAGAAGCTCACCGTTCCTTTGACCCAACTCCTAGGGTCCATCCGTAACGCAACCACAGGAAGCAGCTTTCCGGTCTATCGAGGTAGTTCTTTTCGCAATAGTGGGGTTGGCCAGGGAACCGATCATGCAGGTCTCTCCTGTGCAATTCACGTCGATTCTATCTGGTTTCTCTGCATTGTCGGCCTGGTGAGTGTTCCCATACCGCCCACCCGAATTCTTGCCAGGGTCGTTTAGGTTCGTCAGCACCCGAATTTCTCCTTTCGCTGTTCCCTTTGAGGAGGAGAAAACACTCCAAAGGCCAGCCCACTTTCCCTTCAGGCATCATCTCACATCCTACCTTTTTTCTTCTCCTAAATCACGTCTTTGAGTGCCCTGGTGCGCCTCCCAGGTACGGCTACATGTTCGGCAAGGAAGCTGCCAGGAAAGAGCTGGACAGCAAGATATCCGAGTTGAGGCAGAGGGTGCAGCAGCTAGAAAAGGGAGAGGCGGAGGACTCAAGTAGATGAGGCAGCTCCGGTTTTGAGGAGTTGAGCCTTGCACCATTGCAGTCGGAGCAGCCGTGCGCTGCAATCTGGGGCAATGGTTGAAAGGGAATCTGCGAGAAGGTGCTGGAAGGCAATATGCCTAGCTGAGTTGAGGGTGAGGATGTGCGTTGCATTTGGAGCAAGCACAGCAAGCAAGCACAACAACCACTGCAAGTTTCACAAGTGACGCTGGCAGTGGCCTCTGGGGACAGCAGCAGAGGAAACAGTAGTTTTGGGGTTGGCTTGCACCCCTAAGTGCAGAGACACAGGCAGCAGCAAATGACACAAGAAAGTGAGGCGGCGGCATTGTGATTGCAGGCATTATGGTCTCGCACTTTCTCATACTCTTTCTCATTATTGTTCCCCCAGAGTGGGCACTGGGCAGCTAGATTACACTATATCGGTATTTGTCATTGTCATGAAGCAAAACACGTTGCATATTGCATGCTGTGAAACTGGCACAGCAGCGCTTACCATGTGCACTTTTGCAGCTACGGTTCTTGTAGTATGAATGTTTCATTCACAGGATCAGCATCTGCTGTGACTCTCAAGCTTGCTGCCTACACATTACTTCATGAATAATGTGTACATATTGCAGTTACAAACTCTATAATGTTCATCGCCTTTTACATTCGTATTTTCTAAAGCGCCTCAACAAGGGTGAGCTCAAGGGACCCATGCTTGCCAACAGCGTACCGCCACTCCCAGCTAGGCTTTCCACCAGCCAGCTTCTCCAGCCTCGACTGCATGGCTCCTGGTGGGCGAGAGGGGAGGATGAGGGGAAGGGGGAGGATAGGAGGGAGGGACTAGGTCAGCTGCAGGTTCCCATGTCTGCCCACTCCCAGCTAGGCTTCCCACCAGGCAGCTTCTTGAGCCTCGCTTGCATGGCAAGGAGACAGGATGGGCAGCGATGGGTGATGGCGAGGGAGCCAGAAGGCGAGGAGAGAAGGACGTGAAGCAAAGCTAAAAAGACTTGACCAATATCTCACCTGTTTTTGAAGCAGACACGACCATCTTGTGCCCCTCAGGCACTTCGAACGAGTGGTCCCCCGCTATAGTCACATCCCGCGCCTCAAACTCCGCGTCACCCCTCAGCACCACTCTCAACGCCTCCTCCCTCTGCACCCTATGCTGCCAGTACACGTTGGAGAGGCATTGCCAGTCCACGCCCTTATTAGTAACCGTCACGTTGTGTAACCGACACCGCCCGCAGCCGTGGCCGAGCTGTGTGGTGCCCGATTCAGGGTCTAGAGAGCCGGTGACAGCATCAGCCTCAATGAGAAGACTTCCAGACACCTGCATTTGGATGCAAGAGGGAAGCGGGGAAATGGAGAGGGGGGGGGGATAGGGGGGGAAAGGAGAGAGGGGAAGGGGAGGGAGAGGGGGATGTTAAACAGGATGAAACGTTTAGACACAGGAAAATGAGGAATTCATAGCAACTCAGATTTGTGTAACAAGGATGCTCGACTCTCACAGGCCCTGTGCACCACCGTGAATATTTGTTTCGCAAAGACTCTGATTGTCCCCATGCGCATTTGACCCTGTTTGACCCGCATTGAGTCCGTTTGACTCACATGCACGTTGGACCATGCCAGCTCAGCAATCTCGAGCTTCACTTCAGACCGTGGCGCAACAGAGCCTCCTTGCACCTGCAGCCAATCACGGACACCGAAACAAGCGCAAAGAGTGGGAACAACACCGTCGGCACCCCACCAAAACAAGTGCAATGATTGGGAACAACACCGTTTGTTCCCTGAACTTTGTTAAACTTCAGCCCGTGGCGCGACAGAACCTCCTTGCACCTGCATCAGATAGTAGCCATGACATGAGAAAACAGTAACACCTTCGTTCTGTTCTGTTTTCTGTCCACCTGAAACACCTCCAGGGGAATCTCTGAGCACGCGTGCACCTCTACCGTTTTCTGAAATGCCTCACAAAACGGTGGCACGGAGAAACCGCATCCTTGGAGGCAACAAAAAGTTTTGGTTGTCAAGACAAAGAGCTACAGGCAGGCGAACCTTCTGGCGGATGACACTCCAAAGCGGCCCGAGGGCCGGGTGGAAGATGAAGATGAACGGTGGAGATGAGTCCACATAGCGCTTGTGATCGCTGTGCATCTGATTGGGACAGAGGAACGGGCAGAACAGAAGAAAAAAAACAAAAGATGCTGAGATATTGCAGTTGGAAAGAGGCATCTCGCTTTGGGAACTATCGTACATAGAGGTACCCAATAACTTGCATGAAAAATCACTTACATGTGGCATCGCAACACCGCAGGAGGTGAAGAGCTCTAGCGAGTTGCGGTTCAGGTCAAGGAAAGAGCCATCTGGTGTCTGCATTGGTAAGAAAAAAAAAAAAAAAAAAAAAAAAAACACATGGACAGGGTCAAACAAGAAAAGTTAGGAATTTGACAAGAGGGGAGCTGTATGGGGTGTGAATGTATCATGACCATGTTACATCAACATGTAACAATCTGACCATGTTTAGAAGTGTGTGTTGGTTGGTGGGTGTTGCAACCCTGCGTGGTGCAGGGACGTGTCGGTGGATTTGCGCCTGCTTTTGGCAGAGGAGGTGCAGCAAGGCAAGTGTCTCAAACCTTACACCTGTCACTATACACCAGACCAGTCACAAGTGCCCGGCATTGTCTGCACCTGCTGCACCTCTCCCCCACAGTCCAATTTCGAATTTCCGATCTCTCTCAGCATGCTCCCTAGCTTACCTGGTGCAGGGACGTGTCGGTGGGCTTCCGCCTGCGTTTAGCCGAGGAGGTCACTTTCCGCCTGTCGTTGTACACCAGAAACGTGTCTAGTAAGTCCTGCACCGGCTGAGCCTGTGCCCCGCCACTCTCCCTGTCCACCTGAGCAGTGGCTTCGTCGGCTTGAGACGCATAGCAAGGGGGGGAGGCGGAGGAGGCGGAGGCGGAGTAAGAGGAAGAGGGGGCGGCGGAGAAGGAAGAGGAGGAGGAGGCGGCAGTGGCAGCGTCGGTGTGGTCCAGAAGCAGGCGGCGTGGGAGGGAGGAGACGAGGAGGTCTGCAACGTTCTGCATGGTGCACTCCAGACGGCCTCCTCGGATGCTGCAAGGGTGGAGGTAGAGGAAGAGAGAGATGAGGGCACCGTAACAAGCAGGTTAGCAGGGGATGTGTGGCAGGGAGGTGAGAAGGAGGTCTGCTATACTCGGCATGTATTTAGAGTCGTATTTTGAGTCGACTCAAAATACAGTTAGCAGGGGATGTGTGGCAGGGAGGTGAGAAGGAGGTCTGCTATACTCGGCATGGTGCACTCCAGTCGGCCTCCTTGGATGCTGTGAAAACAAGACAGAGAAGGAAACGGAAGCAAACAGCCTACACAGTTTTGAGGCGCCTCAAAACAGCCTACACAGTTTTGAGGCGCCTCGAACAGCCTACACAATGACCCACGAGTGCATGGTAGGAAGAATGTTTCGTTTTTCCAGTTCTTCGTTTCTTCTTTTTGTTTAGCGAGGAGGCAAACGCAGCGGGCACAGAAAGATGCACAGTGCCACATACCTCTGAGTGCGCCCATTGCAGTCTTCAAACGAGATCGTCTTCTTCAGGTTCATAATCATGCCTGGCAGCGACGGTGGGCTGCTGCTGCTGCTACTGGGGCTGCTAGGGCTTCTCCTGTTGCTACCACTCCTACTCCTACTGGTAGCCTTTTCACTGCCTAAGGAAGCACTCCCACTGCCACTAGCACCACTGAATGATTCATCAATAGCACCCCCAGTGATTGTGTGCATGGTGCTGTCTGGGCCACACAACCCAGCACAGTGCCCACCCTCTAAACTTCCCCTAAAAGCCGCGCTGCTGCTTCCATTGCTGCTAATTGACGCAAGCTCACAGCAAGGTTGCTGCCCTTGATGCTGTCCTAATTGCTGCAGCATCTGCTTCTGCTGCTGCTGCTGCTGCTGCTGGTGGTCCCTTTGATCCATCCAATCATCTGCCGCCCTCCCATCCAGCTGTCCTGCCCCCTCCAGTCTACCACACTCCCCTCGAACAGCCGCCTCTACCGCCTCCAGGTCGGCAAAGAGCACGTTGGTATTGGCAGGGTACTGCGACCGGCTGCTGCCCGGCGCCACAGGCACGTCGCTAATCCCGAGCTTCTCAAACTCGGTGTACTCGACGCACGAAACTCCGTACGCCCATGAGCCGTCGGGTTGTTGTTGCTCTGTGAGCACGTTCACGCCCTGCGCTGACCCCACGTTGCGGTCGCACGATGCAAAGCCGAATTTCTGAGGGTTTAGGGTTTAGGGATGAGGAGGGGAGGGATGGATGGAGGCAGAAGAGGGGAGGACGGGAGGACGGGGGAAAGAGAGCAAGGGAGGGACAGGAGGGAGAGAGGAAACGAGAGTATTGATTCAGAGCTTTTCGAACTCGGTGTACTCGATGCTCGTGACCCCGTACGCCCATGAGCCGTCCGCCTGCCGCTGCTCTGTTAACACGTTCTGTGCTGAGCCCACGTTGCGGTCACATGACGCAAAGCCGAATTTCTGTGGGTGGGGGAACGAAGAGGAGGGGAGGGAGGGGGAAGGAAGAGGGGAGGGAGGACGAGTGTTGTGCGCCAAACTTTTCAAAATCGACGCATTTGGTGCATGCGCTGGTAACAGGACACAATGCCAAATCTCTTGGAGGGAGGAAGAGGGAGCCAATTTGTGATTGCCCATGCCCATGCCCATGCCCATGCCCATGCCCATGCCCATGCGCATGCAAGGCATGGCACATTCACATATTCTCACCTTATTGCCGTGCAGCCCAATGCCAGACAGCGCCAGCAGAGTCATGTCCGTTGCTGCCAGAGGGTTGCTGCTCACAGGCCAGGCCAGGGAAGGGGGAAGAGGAGGACGGGAAGAGAAGGGGAGAATGGAGAGCATTGAGGCGGGGGGAGAAGCGGGACAGGGGGAAACGGGACAGGGGGAAACGCGACAGGGGGAAACGGGACAGGGGGAAACGGGACAGGGGGAAACGGGTTAAGTCCTGATCACCCACCTGATCTGTCTGATGACTGCCGCCTTGCGGCCCTTGGAGCGCAGCCAGTCAAACACGCCCTCGTCTGCTGCTAACTTCCAGATCACCCCGTGACCACCTGGCTTGAGCACGGGCGTCAGAGGCCCGCTGGCCATCCACCTGCCGTCCTCCGCTGCTACTGTCGGCACCAGCGGCTGCAGGCAGACGAAACAGGTAGGGAAAGGCGCGGAACGGGCGATTGGCAAGGCGATAAAGGCATGGGATTGATGCGGGCGTCAAAGGGCCGCTGCTTTTTGGCCATTGGATTGGTTCTATTCTGCTGCCCGCGGCCGAACCAGTCGTGCTGCTGCAGCAGCGCCAGCACCCACTCGTGGTTCCTCTTGGCTGCTTCTGAGCCCTTGAATGAGCTCTATCTGCTATAACTTCTACAACAGGTGCAGCACACCCCGGTCACCGCACCTGCTGGAAGAGGCGGAAGTTGTGCTGCCCGCGGCCGAACCAGTCGTGCTGCTGCAGCAGCGCCAGCACCCTCTCGTGGTTCCTTTTGGCGGCACTGGTCATAATCGACACCGGGGTCACGTGGCGCTCGCCAAACACACGGCAGTGGAGATACTCCCGCGCCTGCATTATAGGACCAAAGGGGATGTGAGCATAACGAACGGATGGGCTTGTTACGCTTCTGAGGTCGCTTGTTGTGTTTCTGAGGCGCCTCCAAGGGCAGCAGCACCGGTCATAATCGCTACCAGGGGTCACGGGGCGCTCGCCAAACACACGCAAGTGGAGATACTCCCGCCGCGCCTGGTGTGGAGAGAGGCCAGGACGCGAGAAATGGGGTTGTTGTGACCCGTGGTAAGCCTCAGCAGGTCCTACATTTTTTAGGCGCCTCAAAAAAAGACTCCTCACGCGAGAAATGGGGTTGCTGTGAGCAGCCTCAGCAGTTCCTACAGCTCCCCTCTCCTAATTACTCAGTCGCTACCGGGGGTATAAAAACCGCGTGATAGGAGTCTAGTTTTGCGCGCCTCAAAACTGGGTTGCTGTGAGCAGCCTCAGCAGTTCCGACAGCTCCCTCTCCTGGTTACTCAGTCGCTACCGGGGGTCACGGGGCGCTCGCCAAACACACGCGGGTGGAGATACTCCCCCGCCTGGCATGGATGGAAGCAAGCATGCGAGGAACGGGGAGGGGAGTGATGGCAGGGGGTCTTGGAGGGGAAGAGCTAACGGGCAATGGCAACGTATTTGCTCACCTCTAGGTCTCTGACCAGCCCGTGCAGCAGCGTGCGGCCGCAGTACGGCAGCATCGCCACTGGCAGGCTCTCTCCCGTTTCCTCGTCCACCAGGCCCAGCCGATCTCCCGCCCCTCCTAGAGGGTAGATCTCAGCCATTGCAGGCAGCCCCTGTTGTAACAAGAAGATGGGTGTGTGTGAGGAGAGGAGAGGAACCACGAAAGCGTTGACTCAGGTCATTCTGTTGTGTTACCGGGAAAACATGATTCCCTCTTCAAAGGGGATGCATTTCCTCTCATTCGCTAGTTTTGAGGCGCCTCAAAACTAGACCCCTATCGCATGATTCCCTTTTCAAAACGGACGCATTTCCTCTCATTCGCTAGGGAGGGGAGAGCTGCCCGCGAGGCTCACCTCAAGGCCCCAGAACGCCGCCTGGGAGGCGAACTCCGGATCACTGGCCAGGTCTTGGCCACGGGGAACAAAGAACCGCCGCTGGGATTCGAACCAGGGTTCTTCGTTCTCTCCTTCATTAGCGATGCTGCTCGTGTCGTCTGCTGTTACCAGAGATGCTGGTGGAGCTGCTGCTACTGCAAGTGAGGGGGTTTCTTGAGGTGCTGCTGACGCCAGTTCCGCTGCTGCTGCTGCTGCTGCTGCTGCTGCTTGGGAAGCAGCGACGGACTGTTGAATGAGGTCCAGACACGTCGACTGGTACCTGCGCGCCACAAAAGGGGCAAAACGCATACATGCAACGGCTCAGAAGGTGGGTCATATGGAACATGAGCCCATCTTTTGCAGATGGAGAACAAAGAGCCAGCGTACCCGATAATGCCGCCGATGCCATCGCGGAACTACTCCACTCGCTGCAGCATCGGCAGGAGTCTGAGTCTATTTGAGACGCCTCATAGAACACATCCTCAGCACATCCTCAGCACATCCTCAGCACATCCTCAGCACATGCTCGGCACATGCTCAGCACATGCTCAGCACATGCTCAGCACATCCTCAGCACATGCTCAGCACATCCTCAGCCTACCCTGCTAGACCTAAACGGTCAGAGTGAGTCAACATACCCGATAATGCCGCCAATGCCGTCGTAGAACTTCTCCACTCGCTGCAGCATCGCCAGAAGCGTCTGCAGCTGCGCGCGTGGCTCCCGCCCCCTCGAATAGCCAGCATTATCCTCCGACCCGCTGCTGCTGCTACCACCGTCGCTCACAAATCCACTGCTGCTGCTGCTGCTGCTGCTGCTGCCACTGCTGCTACTGAGAGAGTTTGCATCGCCGTCCATCTGCCACTGCTTCTCCCAGTCGACCAGGTCCAGCAGCGGAGCGCCGAACACGCTCGGGTACTCCAGCCCTTCCATGAACTGCGCGAACAGCGACGACGATACCGAGGACGACGATAACGGGGACGCGTCCTCCTGGCCCTTACCTCCAGAAACACCCGCGTTATGCGCCGATCGGCGGTCCTCCCAGTCGATCAGGTCCATCAGCGGAGCAGGGAACACGCCAGGGTTGTCGAGCCCGGCCAAAATTACAGGGAGAGCTGCCCGCGGGGCGTCTAACTGCGCATCCCAGCCGTCGATCATGGACGCGAGCATGGAAAAGGCCTCCTTGACTCCTCCACCTGATCTGGCCTTGGCGCTGCTTTCGCCCGTCGCTCTCCCTTCACACTTATCGCTCCTGCTTTCAATGCCGCTGCTGCCAGCATTGCCATCCGCATTCTGACTCATGAAGTACGCCTCAGTCGAGAATTCCGACTGGTGATTTGCCCTCTCCCCGATCGCGTCCAGGCCTTCTGCCCAGGCAATCGGAGTGTCCAGCAGATGCTCTTGCCCGGACGCCACGAGGCATTTTAGCAGGTAGACCTCCTCCCGGCTGCACGCCTCCATGGCCATCCGTACGGCCGGCTTGACGTATTTCCCAAGGGACGAATCTCCCATTTGAGGGAAGATCGCACGCACTCGTGGGTCCGCGCTGACGATTGAATCCTTTTCGTCGAGAGTCTGGGCTGTGGCGAGCTGCAGGAGGAGATCATGCAGCCGGGAAGAGTTTTCCGTGAGACGCTGAGCGGCCGAAACGGCTGGGTCGGTTAAGGTCCGGGATTTCGCCGGCCCGCGTGAAAGCCGTTGCTCCAGCCGCTGCTGAGTCTCGTGTAGCTGCTGCTGCTGCTGGTGTTGCTGTTGCTGTTTCTGCTGCTGAAGCAGCTCCTGATTCAACGGAATGTTAGGAGAAACAGCGATGCTCCGAGGAGCGACGCCAACCGATGCGCTAACATCCCGAGGAGGCTGAGATTGCTTGGAGGAATTCCGGCTTGAGAAAGGACCAGGCTGAGCTGCCGCTCTAGGGAGCCATCTACTTCCACATCGACGGCCAATACTCGGAGCACCTCTAGAACGAGTGATTCTAATGCCGGAAACGCGAACTCGTTCCCCTCGCAAACTGCCCTGAGATAGCTGGAGACCTAGGAATTGCGAGCCTGACAGGAGCTTTTGAGAATCACAAGCAGTTCGTGGATGAGCATGATCCAGACTAAAGAGGGTTGCCGGTAATGCGAGCAGACTCTGACGACAGGAAGCTTCGAGTGCCATGGCGGACATCGGAAGTAGCTACTGAGGAGCCAACGTAGTAAAATTAGACGCTGGCGACTGGAAGTGGCTTAGGGTAAAAAGAGACGCCTTAGGTCGAAGACTTACGCACGTAGGTCGGTGGCAAGTCGGTCGCAATTCTAAAATAACCTAGCGTGGCGTGTGGAAAGCAGAACTCAAGCAAACATAAAGACTGGCCAAACGGAAGGACCGCGAATGGATAGGATAGGTCGATTCTGCTATGGCCAGGGATGTGAAGAGCCTACTCCTGACCACTAGCAACCAAGCAAGCTACTGATCCCTGACTTCTACACCTAGCTTCCTGTTCCAACCGTTGTAGCTTTCACCTGATCCATCAAGGATGGAGGGAAGAGTGCATCTAGGCAAAAGGAGGGCATCTGGAAATGGATGCTTCAGATACACGTCAGCATGGAGTTCCTAAAGCTGACGTGAGAGTAGGCGTAGGCGTCTGGTTGGTGGCTAACATCGGAAGGTGCCACGCTGTCGAAAGATTCATCGGCTTGGCGGCAAAGCGGATCTCCCTGGTGAACGCCCGACCAATCCAGGTGCTGACCGGAGATGTCTTTGGCTGGGGCCGCAGTCTTGAAAGATTCTGATTGGTTGGGTGGGCTGAGATTGGGAATTTTGTGGCTCGCTGCCCATGGCAACACAGCGAAACTGGAAGATTCCGTTTTTGGCTGCTCGTCAGCCAGGACGCCAGCCTCGAGGGGGATATTCTCTACTGGATCTTCGCCGTTTGCAAAAGATGCTTAGGAATCGAACACTACTAACAACGATATACGATATATGGGACACAAAGCAAGGATATCTGCTAGCATATATGGAGTTGGCTTTAATACGTCAAAAGCTACTCCAAATTATGATACGCACTAAGAAATATTTTTACTCATTTACGATACGCACACAAAGCAAGGATATATGCTAACATATATGGGAGTTGGCTTTAATACGTCCAACAGCTATTCCAAATTGTGTCACCACAGAAATTCAATATAGGTCACAACTCGTCACGGTCACGTGCCTCTCTTTTCCCTCCATTTTGCAAATTAGACCGCCTCCTTGGAGAAACTGCAGTTGTAGCCAAGGATGCAAGCAACGGGGAGCGGGACCAGGGCCAGAGTGCGGGGGTCATCCACCGACGCTCCACGCTCGCCTTGAAGCTCCACGGATCCCATCCCTGCCCGTGCTTTAGCGACCAGAAGAAAGAACCAGAAGAAGAAGCGAGGTACGCCTGTAGCTGCGCTTTGGCAAAGCGAGAGTTGATGTCGTCACTTGTGTCGCACAGCAAAGCCAGGGACCACTCTCCTGTCGTGTGTGGTTTGGGGTGGTGTGATGGGGTGAGTTGTTTGACACGATAATGTATGGTTTGGCATGGCACAGTATGCTCTGACGAACATGCATGCTATGCTGATTAGTCTAGCTTGGTTACTTTATGTGTGTAAATATAACACATATGCATGTGTGTATATACACATATGTTTGTCAATGTTACCCCCCCCCATCACTCACCCACAAAGACGAGCCGCTGGCCTCGTTCCAGGAGCTGCAGGGCGGCAGCGCGTTGCTTGGCGGGGTACTGCAGGTTGAAGTCCACAGACTGGGAGCCGAACTCCGCATGATCGTGCACCTGGTACCAATGTGCATCATATATCACATTGGAGTACTGCGCACCTGCATGGGCACAAGAGGTTCACAAGCGCATACAAGCACACACAAACACATAGGTTGAAGTCCACAGACTGGGAGCCAAACTCGGCATGGTTATGCACCCGGTAGCAGTGTGCATCAAAGATCACATTGGAGTACTGTGCGCCTGCACACATGCACAACAGAACAGGATTTCTTTTCTTTTCTTTTCCTTTTCTTTGAAAGATCCGGCCCGAGATGACCAAGTAAGCGGAGGGCGAGTGAGTGCTCCCACAGCACCGCATAGCACTGCTCCAGGCCCGCAACACAACCTCCTCCCCCCCTCCCATCCCTACATACTTGTCATGAAGTCAGCCCGCTCTCTCTCGTTGGCAATTTTTTTCCCAGAAATGACGAAGAAGGTGGAGGGGGAGTGTTCCCTCAGCACCGCATACAACCACTCGACGCCCTTAACATAACATACCCCCCCGCCTCTCCCCCCCCTACATACTTGTCATGAAGTCGTCCCACTCTCTCTCATTGGCAAAAATTCTCCCAGAAAGGACAAAGTATGTGGAAGGCGAATGCTCCCTCCCTTAGCACCGCGTAGCACCGCTCATAGTACCATACCCCTCACACTCAACACACACACACACTCACTTGTCATGAAGTCGTCCCACTCTCTCTCATTGGCAAAAATTCTCCCAGAAAGGACAAAGTATGTGGAAGGCGAATGCTCCCTCCCTTAGCACCGCGTAGCACCGCTCATAGTACCATACCCCTCACACTCAACACACACACACACTCACTTGTCATGAAGTCGTCCCACTCTCTCTCATTGGCAAAAATTCTCCCAGAAAGGACAAAGTATGTGGAAGGTGAATGCTCCCTCCCTTAGCACCGCGTAGCACCGCTCATAGTACCATACCCCTCACACTCAACACACACACACACTCACTTGTCATGAAGTCGTCCCACTCTCTCTCATTGGCAAAAATTCTCCCAGATATGACGAAGTACGCGGAAGGCGAATGCTCCCTCAGCACCGCATAGCACCGCTCGTAGTAGCGAGCCAGGTCATCAAACGACACTGCGTCTGCCCTTGGCTCGTTGATTGGCTCTAGGCCGGCAAAGGCTGGATGGGACGCATAGCTAGGTGGGGGGAGTGGAGGACAAAGAAAGAAGGGGGTACGAAACCCATCAGCATCGCATAGCACCGCTCATAGAAGTGATGAGCCAGGTCATCAAACGACACTGCATCTGCCCTTGGCTCTTTGATTGGCTCCAGGCCGGCAAAGGCTGGATGGGACGCACAGCTGGAAGGGGGAAGTAACAGCTGAGGGCAGTCCCGACAGAGAGGATGATGGAGAGAGAGGAGCAGATAGGATAACCCTTCAGCACCGCATAGCACCGCTCATAAGGCTAGCTGGTATAGAAGGGAGGGAAGAATGGAGGGAAGAATGGAGGGAGCGGGGAGCATGGAGAGTGGTGAGAATGGATAGAATGGAGTGAAGGAGGAGAATGGAGAATTCAGGCTCTTGTGCCAGGCCCAAGCTATTGATTGCACCTTCCAGGGCTAATGCCTCACTCTCTCTACCCCTCTACACCTCTCTTCACCCCTCTCAACTCCTCTACTGCCTGCCATTGTCACCATCCCGAGGAAGCGGGTGGCAACAACTGTCTCATCCATGATCGGGGGTCCCACCGTCCCAAACTTGCCCCCATGGGGATGCTGTCGCAACTTGCACTGTGAACAGCCTATGGCAATCCCCACACCCCAAGCCAAGCCCCAGTGCCACTACCCCCCCAACCTTCTCTGCTCACCACTGCACTAACAAGCGGGTGGCGTCCACTGTCTCATCCATAAGAAGCGGATGGTGTCGACCGTCTCATCTATGAACAGAGTCCGGGGCTTGGCCCATTGTTCACCATCAGCTCCGTACGGAACTCACAACACCGCTCCACCACTCTCGACAACACTCCACCACTCTCCTCACCGCTCCACCACTCTCTACACCCTTCCATCATCCCTAGCTCACCGCTGCACAAGGAAGCGGATGGCGTCAACTGTCTCATCCATAAAGGGTGTCCTGGGCTTGCCCCACATGGGGATGCCGTCGCGGCTCGCACTGTGCTCCCACCCGTTCTGGGACCCGGGGGCAGCATGCAGGCACACTATAACGCGGATGCTGTGTGTGTGCGCCCAGTCCATAGCCTGCAGGCAGTGAAAGAACAGGTGGGAGTTGAGGACAGCATGTTACTCAAGGCTGCATGCAGGCAGGCAGGCACACTATAACGCGGATGCTGTGTGTGTGCACCCAGTCCATAGCCTGCAGGTGAAAAAAGAGCAGGAGAGAGACAAGAATCGCCAGTTCCCCCAAGGGACGCACTCAGGGCTGCACGTGGGAGGACCATAACACGGATGCCATGTGCATGCGCTCAGTCCAGCAACAACAGATTCAAATACCCCACCTCTGCTCTGCCACCGCCCACTCTGTCTGACTCACCCCACAGTCATGCTCACTTGTAGCTACGCCCCCTGGAGGCTGACTCACCCACATACTCACCACCAGCATACGCCCCCCTACATGGCTGTGTGCCTGTGTGCCTGTGTTGGCTGTGTGCCTGTGTGCCTGTGTTGGCTGTGTGCCTGTGTTGGCTGTGTGCCTGTGTGCCTGTGTTGGCTGTGTGCCTGTGTTGGCTGTGTGCCTGTGTGCCTGTGTTGGCTGTGTGCCTGTGTTGGCTGTGTGCCTGTGTCACACCCACATTCAGTCGCTCAGCTCACGAGTCTTACTCTACTCAACAGTACCAGAGCTCCCCCTTGTACCAATTGTACGAACTCTACCAACATTATCGGCATCGGGTGTGTTTCAGCTTGGAGCAACGCCACCTGAAATCATGTACCCACCTTATCTAGGAGCTCCAGAGCAACTTCCACGAAATCCTCAGGAGTAGGATCCACAGCCACCCACCACCCGACCAGTATCCTCACAGCATTCACCCCCTGCTTCGCCATATCCCCCCCCACCCACCCACTCTGGCTTACCCTAAAGCCACACACCCTTCACCTGCCTCACACCCACCGTGTCCAGCAGCTCCAGAGCCCCTTCCACGAACTCCTCTGGATGAGGATCCACAGCCACCCACCACCCCACAGGGGCCCTCAGAGCATTCACCCCCTGCCTCGTCTTAACAGGACCCCCATAACCCACCTTGTCCAGCAGCTCCAGAGCCCCTTCCACAAATTCCCCAGGTGTCGGGTTCAGTCCACAGCCACCCACCACCCCACCGGTATCTGCACAGCTTTCACCCCCTGCTTCGCCATCCACTCAAAGTCCCCCTCCCCCGCCCACTCTGGCTTACCCTAAAGCCGCACACCCTTCAACTGCGTCAGACAGACCCACCTTATCCAGTAATTCCAAAGCCCCTTCCACAAACTCCTCTGGGGTCGGGTCCACAGCCACCCACCAGCCGACCGGTATCCTCACAGCGTTCACCCCCTGCTTCGCCATCCACTCAAAGTCCCCCTCCCCCGCCCACTCCTCCCGATGCTGCTGCAGCCGCCTCGTTGCCTCCTCCCGGCCCAGCGCCAGCATGAGCTGCGCCTCCCCCCCCATGTCCGCTAGCTTGCTCAAGGTGAAGGTGCACGTGGTGTCCCACCTAGGAGCGTCTTCGCTGTATAGGGAGGGGAGGGGAGCGCAAAAATGAGGCCAGGAGAAGAGTGAAGACAGAATAGAGGACAGCACGCTCCCCCTCCCCCACCCACTCCTCCCGGTGCTGCTGCAGCCGCCTCGTTGCCTCCTCCCGGCCCAGCGCCAGCATGAGCTGCGCCTCCCTCCCCCCCCATGTCTGCCAGCTTGCTGAGAGTGAACGTGCACGTGGTGTCCCAATTATGGGCGTCCTCACTTCGGAAGCAAGGGAAGCGGGAGGGGGGGAGGGGAGAGGGGGGTTTGTCGAGGGGGAAGGGGAGGAAAGGATGGGGGGGGAAGAGCACGACTCCTCGTGATAGGAGTCTAGTTTTGAGGCGCCTCAAAACTAGACTCCCTGCCCAGCAGCGCTAGCATGAGCTGCGCCTCCCCCTCCATGCCTGCCAGCTTGCTGAGAGCGAAGGTGCACGTGGTGTCCCACCTAGGGGCATCCTCGCTGGAAAAGCGAGGGAGGCAAGGGGGGGGGTGGGGGGGAGGGGAGGGTTGGGGGTGGGGTGGGGTGGTTGAGCACTTCAGTTTTCCACTAAGCCAGTATGGACTCACTTGGTATAATCTATAAGCCTGTAGTGACGATTGATGTCTACTGTACTGACTCACTCGATATCTGTTATAAGCTTTAATTGACTCCCTCAATATCCGCTATAAGCCTCTCTTGACTCACTCAATATCCACTATAAGCCTCTATTGACTTACTCAATATCCGCTATAAGCCTGCCGTCCTCCAGGGCTTGCACCCAGTTCCCGTTAGCCGCTCTCAGCTGCACCGTGCCCTCCTCGCCCAGCTTGTGCCGCACCCAGAACATCTCACCCTCCTCCTCATCCTCCCTGGTGGTGAGGTGAGAGAAAAATAGGGGCAACGGGCAGGGAGAGAGCCAGAGCAGGTATACAGTTGTAGGAATGGAAGGGCTCTCAGCTTCACCGTGCCCTCCTCGCCCAGCCGGTGCCGCACCCAAAACATCTCACCCTCCTCCTCATCCTCCCTGTCAACAGAAGAGGAGAGGGAGAGGAGAGGAGGAGGAGGAGGAGGAGGAGGAGGAGGAGGAGGAGGAGGAGGAGGAGGAGGAGAACGGGCAAGGCTCGAGATGATCAATCCAAGTGCAGCTGCACTGACGGAAATAAAATAAAACTAAATAAAAAAACTTCAAAAAAAAGTCCCAACACTATCATAAGATATGCATGAATCTCACTTGTTTGCAAACACCTCGCCACTTTCAGCATCCACGCTCCAGAAGTGCCCACTTCCCGCCCGGATGAAAAACGCTCCGTGATCTGCCCGGCGAAGAAAAAAAGTTTCCCAAGCACTGGCAGCATCTCTATTGGCCCTGAGCTGGTCGCCGCCCCCTCCCTCTGCTGCCACCCACTTGCCGTCCACGGACTGTAGCTGGATGGACGTGCCGTCCAGTAGATCCTGTGGAAATAGGAGGGGAGGGATGGGGGGGAAGGGTGTTAAGGGGTTGATGAGGACGCTTGCCGTCCGCTGACTGCAGCTGGATGGATGTGCCGTCCGAGAGGTCCCGAAAGGAAGGCGGAAAGGAAGTAGCAAGTAGGATCCGGAAAGGAAGGCGGGTGGATGTGCCGTCCAATAGATCCTGGAGCTGAGAGGGTTGAGCGGGGGGGGGGGGGTGGAGGGGGTGGGGGGGTGTGCCGAACAATAGATCCTGAAGCAATAGATTCCAAAGAGAAAAGGGAGGGGAAGAGGTGGGGAGGGGTGCTGAGAGGTCGGGCGGAGCACAATGAAGACCCCATTCACAGAGAGGGAGGGTGGAGAGGAAAGGGGGGGGGGGAGGGGTGATGGGACATCCATGCCTCTGCAACGAGCCAGCCGCTGAGGGTGACTCCTGGAAACTTGGCCAGCAGCATGTCACGGCGGCGGATGGAGAAGGCAGACGTTACATGTCAGGCTTGTACTCACAGTGAAGACCCCTTCGAAGAGGGCAGGCGGGCACATCCAGGCCTCGGCCACAAGCCAGCCACCCAGGTTGACTCCGAGGAACTTGGGCAGCATGTCGAGGCGGCGGATGGAGAAGGTCTCGGCGTCGCCCTGCACCATGGACGTGAAGAGCAGCGAGGGCTGCAGCGCGCGTAGGTAACGTTCGTTGCTCATGGACTGGTGCGGGGGGGGGGGATGGAGGGGGGGGGGGGAAAGGGAGGAAGGGGAGAGAGAAAGGGAACCTGAGGGTCTCAGTATCGCCCTGCAGCATGGACGTGAAGAGCAGCGATGGTTGTGAGGCGCGCAGATACCGCTCGTTGCTCATGCACTGGCACGTGGGAGAGGGAAGGGGGAGAGAGAAAAAGGAACCTGAGGGTCTCGGCATCGACCTGCAGCATGGACATGAAGAGTAGCGATGGTTGCAGGGCGCGCAGGTAGCGCTCGTTCCTCATGGACTGGTGCAGGAGGGGGGATGGGGGGGGGGGGGGGGGAGGGGAGAGGGAGGAAGGGGAGAGAGCAAGGGAACCTGAGGGCCTCAGCGCCGCCCTGGAGCGAGTCTCCAGCATGGACGAGAAGAGGAAGCGAGGGCTGGCTGCTTCAGTGCTGCATCGGGTGCCTTCAGTGCTGCATGCATCCCAAGAAGTGCCTGCTGCTGCTGCTGCTGCTGCTGCTGCTGCTGCTGCTGATGCTGCTGCTGCTGATGCTGCTGCTGCATTGTGCGGCAACTAGGAGACGGAGTGTATTTTTGAAGCGCCTAAAAAAAAACCATGCGTGAGGAGTCTATTTTTGAGGCGCCTGAAAAATAGACTTCCCAAGAAGTGCCCACTGCTGCTGCTGCACTGCTCCATCCATAGCAGGCGTGCGCAGCAACCAGGAGACGGAGTGCTAGGGAAGGGAAGGGACTCACATAGAGGGCGAATTCCCCAGTGCGGAAGTTCCGTGCGACCCGGAACACATGGCAGTCCAGCAAATCGCCATCGGGTGATGTACCCGCCCCGTTGTATTTTGAGTCGACTCAAAATGCAAATCGCCATCGGGTGATGGATGTACCCGCCCCGCCCTCAGCGACCCACCAGCTTGTGCGCTTCCGAAGGGGACTCACATAGAAGGCGAATTTCCCGGTGCGGACGTTGCGAGTGACGCGGAACACATGGCAGTCCAGCAGGTCGGCATCGGGTGGTGTATCCGCCCGCAACGACCCATCAGCATGGGCCGACAGTGCACAGCCGTTGGGCGCCTTCAGCGCCACATGCACCTCCATCTCCTCCACCTCCGCCTCCCCCTCCCCCTCCCCTGCCTCCACGCCTTCCTCCTCCTCGTCGTCTGAACCGCCTTCTTGCTTCCTCCCCCACACGGATTGACCCTTGCTGGAGGTATTAGAGAAGCCAAACATGCCCCACAGGGAGCGAGATGAAGCTGCTTCCCTGCAGCAGCAGCAAGTAAGGGGGGGCAGGAGGACAGAAAAATACGTGATTCATCCCCCAGGCAGACTAATTGTGCTTCTCTCCCTCCCTCCTCCTCCTCGTCTGACCCGCCCTCCTGCTTCCTCCCCCACACGGATTGCCCTTTGCTGGAGCCAGAGGCGGCAGAGAAGCCAAACATGCCCCACAGGGAGCGAGATGAGGCTGCTTCCCTGCAGCAGCAGCAAGGGGGGGCAGGAGGACAGAAAAAGACGTGATTCATCCCCCAGACAGACTGATTGTGCTTCTCTCCCACTTCTGCCTCCCCATCCCCCTCCCCTCTCTCGGCACCTTCCTCATCCTCCCCGTCTGACCCGCCCTCCTGCTTCCTCCCCCACACGGATTGACCCTTGCTGGAGGCAGCAGAGAAGCCAAACATGCCCCACAGGGAGCGAGACGAGGCTGCTTCCCTGGGCAGAGGGGAGGGAGAGGAAAGTGAGAAGGGCCGGAAGGATAGGAATGGGCTTGAGTGCGAACACCCCCTGCCCCTCGCTGGAGGCGTCAGAGAAGCCAAGCATGCTCCACAGGGAGCCGGACGAGGCTCCTTAGGGAATGACGAGATTGGGGGTGAGGGACGGGGAAGGGTCGGGGGAGAGAGGGGTGAGCGGGGGAGAAGGGCAGCGGCTGGGGGGAAGGGGGGGAGGGGCGATTTGCCTTGCTAGAGGCGGAAGAAAATCCCAAGACGTCTCACTAATCCCCTCCCCCACCCTGTTGGTCCCACTCTACCTAACGCTTGACCTTACTTCTGCGGTTCAGTAGTTTTGACAACCACCACAGTGAACCCATCTCCACCCCTGCTGCCCTTCTGCCCTCCCATATCCGACCGTGCTTCCTCTTGTGACTACTCCCCTTCCCCAGCCCAACCCCTACCACCCCCCTCAGACCTCACCTGTTGGGTTCAGCAGTCTTCACAACCACCACAGTAAACGCATCCTCGACTCTGCTACCCTCCTGCCCAGCTGCCTTCTCCAATCCCAGCCGCTGGCTCCAGTCAGTCACCCCTCTCCCCCCAGGCCCTTCCTCTCGCCCCCCTCCAAACCCTAGACCTCACCTGTTGGGTTCGGCCGTCTTCACAACCACCACAGTGAACACATCCCCGATTTTGCTGCCCTCCTGCCCTCCCGCCTTCTCCAAACCCAGCGGTTGGCTCCAGTCACCCCCAGGTGCCGCCACCACGGACCAATCAGAAGCCACTATCTGGATCACCACACCATCTGCCAATGGGGAAAGGACGGGGGGAACAGGGGGGCAGGGGGGGCACAGGGGAGAAGTGGAGGAAAGGGGGGAGGGAGAGGGGGAGGAGGGGGGAGAAGGTGTGGGGGAAGGGAGGGGGAGAGACAGCAGGGAATGGGATGTAATGGAGGGGAACTGAACTGAACTGAACTGAACTGAACTGATGTGAACTGAATTTCGCCACACGTGGCAGAGCTGTGAGATGGGGGGGGAGGGACTGATTGTTGTGACGTCTCGTAAAACAACTGGGGTGCATGAGAGAGGTGCAGTGCAGAGGTGCATCAGACGCAACTGCATCAGGCCTGAGAGGGCGTCGGTGGCGGCATGCGTACCTGGAAGATTGAGAGGGAATCTGAAGAACTTTTCAGTTGAGCTGGTGACGAAAAGGAAACGCGAGGAAAAGGATGGTCATACATTACACACCTGGGATGTCATCGGCATCAGAGAGAGAGGGCATTTGAAACTTGGCCCATTTGGACGCCATGCTGGGAGGGCCTAGAGGGGCCAAGGTCACGAGGTTCTGCAGGGGAATGGAGGGAGCGGGTGACGTGTGAAAGTGTTATGCCATTGAAACAGAGAGACAGAGAGAGAATTTGAAACTTGGCCCATTTGGACGCCACGCTGTTGGGACAAGCAGGGGAGGCACGCAGAGAGGTGCTGTGATGGGTACCTCTCTGCTGGGACAAGCAGGGGAGGCACGCAGAGAGGTGCTGTGATGGGTACCTCTCTGCTGGGACAAGCAGGGGAGGCACGCAGAGAGGTGCTGTGATGGGTACTGTATCGTATCGCTTGGAGAAAGCTATGAGCAGAGCCTATGAGAAAGCTATGAGCAGAGCCTATGAGAAAGCTATGAGCAGAGCCTATGAGAAAGCTATGAGCAGAGCCTATGAGAAAGCTATGAGCAGAGCCTATGAGAAAGCTATGAGCAGAGCCTATGAGAAAGCTATGAGCAGAGCCTATGAGAAAGCTATGAGCAGAGCCTATGAGAAAGCTATGAGCAGAGCCTATGAGAAAGCTATGAGCAGAGCCTATGAGAAAGCTATGAGCAGAGCCTATGAGAAAGCTATGAGCAGAGCCTATGAGAAAGCTATGAGCAGAGCCTATGAGAAAGCAAGCTTGGAGGCTTGGAGCAGAGCGAAAGGAGGGGGAGGGGGGGAGGGGGAGAGAGAGAGGGAGAGCCTGGAACTGAATCACGAGCTGGCCACTCTATCACGGGTGCAGCGATCTGGCCACGGCTGATTTTTGAGTCGACCCAAAAGGTGATTTTTTTTATTTTTGAGTCGACTCAAAAATCACGAGCTGGCCACTCTATCACGGGTGCAGCGATCTGGCCACGGCTGGCTGGCAGGCAATACGGCTTGAAAGGGACTCAAGCAAGCAGGGGACCTTTGAGACGATTCACTCACAGCTAGCCCGTGCAGGTAGGCGAAGGAGCATGAGGAGCAGTCACGGGTTAGGGAATGTGGGAGCGAGTGTGAGATTGCGTTGCTCGAACTACAAGACTCACAACTAGTCCGTGCAGGTAGGAGAAGGAGCATGAGGGGCGGTCACAGGTAGAGAGCAAGTAAGCACGTGCCATCAAGCAAGCAAGCAGGGGACCCTGAGTTGAGACGATTCACTCACTGCTAGTCCCTGCAGGTAGGCGAAGGAGCATGAGGCGCGGTCACACGTGCGGCATGCTGGGCCCGACTGGTAGAGCGGCGAGAGCAGGGCGCCTCCAAAGTGTAAAGCCTCGAGAGGTAGACTTCCAAGGGGTAAATTACCCTGTAAAATCCGCTGCCAGTTGCCGAGGAGTAGAGCGACAGCAACTAGAAGTAGAGCCTGGAAGAAAGGCACAGATACGCCTTTCTGCCTGGTTAATGGCCTATCTGTGGCACTCTGTGGGGGGAGAGAGTGAGAAAGGGGAGGGGAGCAAGAGGTGGAGGGAAAGAGGGAGTGTTTGATGGAGGGAGTGACGGGCCGAAGGAGAGTGTGAGGGACTCGTAGAGGGAAAAAGTGGGAAACTGATAGAGACCGAAATTGGGAGACGTAAAGGGGAAAGTCGGATCGATTGAACTTCGAAATGCGTCTAAAACTTTATGAAAACACCATTAACACGCGGATTAACGTGCATTGCAGCGGATAAGTGAAAAGCATCACGCATCACCGCATGCGTGCTCGCACAAGCGTCACTCTACTGAGCACTAACAAACACGCATTCCCTTACACTCAACGGATTACTTGGCTCTTTGTCTTGTGTTTCCGCTCCCCGCTGGTATTGCCTCGTGCCTGTGAACCGTCCTGCTTTTGAGGCGCCTCAAAAGCTGCCTGTGAACCGTACTTCAAGCTTCCAGAGGATCCAGCAGCTTCCCTGCTGAGTGTAATCGAACCTCGCTTTTCCTTAATATCTCGCTCCTCCTGAGTATCTCGCTGGCCTCTGCTGAATACTATCGTATCTGGCTTTTCCTTAATATCGAGTCTCCTTCGCTGCTTGATCGACGCGTGCTGCGTCTGGTCCATCACACGCCGATCATCAGCATCCCAACCCTAACGCCGACTGCCATGCCGCCGGTCGTTCTTGTCCCCACTATTAGCCAGCAATGTGAAGTGATAATGATGAGCAAAGAGATTGACGCGTTTAGGGGACGTGATGGAGGAAATGCGAGCAGCGACGGTACGATTGTGCTATTTAGACACAGTTGGAGCAGGCAGCAATCAGACACTGTTCTCCAAGACGAGTTTTTCGTAGGAAATGCGAGACGCCTGTATGAAATCCTAGAAGGGATAATGGCTAGGGGCTGTCTTGGGAAGAGTAGTACGGGAACCCTAGAAATGGTCTAACGCGGGGAGGTATGTTGAGGTAGCAGCACGTAGAGATTTGATCCTTCTGCGGGATAAATGAGCGCTCGGGTTCATCAGGGTGCGAGTGTCAGTGCGAAAGTGTAATGTAGAAATTGCCAAAATACTAAGAAAACCACTATTTAATGACGTCCATAACATGCTAGCAAAAAATGTACTTCTAGCATGCATTTGTCATTCTATTTCTCCTCAGCATCCTATTTTATTTCCAGGGAAAAAAACTTCAAAATACCACCCAAGAGGGTCAAATGCATAGTTTTTGTTGCAAAAACATCTCTGTGATACTTTATTACTAGCCTCTCTAGTTGAATTCAGCATGATGCCATATCCTATTTCACCATTCAACAATGCATTGAGAATTTGTTTCTTCTTTGCGAAGTTCATTGTTGTATTGATGCTCATCGTCCCGATATGTCAACCATCGGTGGTTGCGGATATTAATGCAATTGAAATTCATGCATCTTGGCAAGAAATGGATGAAATAAAAACAGTAACAGGATTAGCCATCGACAGATATAGGCTTATTGGAATGATTTAGACGTGGATGGTATTTATTTCACCATTCACTTGTTTCGGTGTTTTTGTTGAATGCTGGAGCGTTTTAAGTGTACTGACCGTGACTGAAGCGGAGTCGACACTAATCGCGCAGTGAATCTGACCCCAGCTAGCCCGCTTTCCCCATAACCTAGAAACTGTTGCAGTAACTCTCCCCTTCAGTTCTAGGGTTTGCCATCGTCAGTTCCTAGGTTCTGCAGTTTAGGCTGGCTATCCGCTCCTACTCTTCACCGTTCGCCTATCCATGTTGCGTTCGCCTAGGTGTGTCTTTGGTGAGTACTGTTTCTCAGAAACTGCGAATTTTGCTAGAAACGTTTCCGTGATCAGTTCGCATCGCAAGTAGTGTATGTCTGAGCAGATCCCTTTTTTTTTTTTTTGCAGTCGGCAACATCCCTTACGATACGACCGAGGAACAGCTCCGCCAGATCTGTGAGGAGGTCGGACCCGTGGTTTCCTTTCGGTATGTGAAAGCAGGATCGTCCGATCCAATCACCGCGATCGTGCGAGATATCCGTCTGTATGGTTTCGGTGCTTCTGGTTTCCATGTTGCTTTCGGTGTCTCTCTTGCTATCATATTGTATGTAATCCTGCTGGAGTTGACTACCCTGAAAAGAAGCTCCCGTGTAAACCGAGAGCGCAAAAACTCACAAGATGTTAATGGTGAGCCACGCAGCTTGAATGGTGCGTTCAGACGACAAAAACCGTACGAACAGAGCTTCAAGGGATACAAACTACCGCCTTTTGCATTTCAGCTGGGGAACGTGTCTTGATGATCTCGACTCAGAACAATGCATATGCTCGCTCGGTATGATATTTGAGCGTTCCGAGACCCTTCCTCGTGGGTAATACTATCTCCAAACACTAATTTAAGAAGTACCCTTCTCAAGATACTGGGAAGCTGCGTTACTATTGCAGGGCAACAGCAGCATAAACACCAGAGCAGCATAAACACCAGAGCACCATAGACATCAAAGCAGCATAAACACCAACAGATCAGGGCCGGGCATGTCTCTGGCGTTGGATACTTCTCGTGCTGCTCTATCTTTCCAGCTGCCTGCCTGCCTGCCTATGTGCCTGCTTCCTGCCTGCTTAACGATCCGCCTGTATTCAGGCTGGTGACTGACAGGGAGAGCGGCAAGCCCAAGGGTACGGGTTCTGGAGGTTAGGGACGAGGAGGACGGCTTTTGAGTCGAGTCAGAAGCAGTTTCCCGCCCTGTCTGTCCGCTTGCCTGCCTACTTGCCTGCTTCCTGCCCGCTTACCTATATACCCGCCTGAATCCAGGCTGGTGACCGATAGGGAGAGCGGCAAGCCCAAGGGGTACGGTTTTTGCGAGTACAGGGACGAGGAGACAGCTCAGAGCGCGAGGAGGAACCTCAACGGCTACGACATCAACGGCCGGCAGCTCAGGGTCGACTTCGCTGACAGCGACAAGAGCGGCCAAGGGGTAAGTAGCAACGGCTTCTAAGTCGGCTTGAAAGCAATGGCTACAACATCAACGGGTGCCAGCCATCGACTTAGCTGACAGCGACAAGAGTGGCGGGGCCAAGGGGTAATGTGGCTCCGTTTATGCATTTGTGTAGAGGAAAGGGCAACCGCTGCAGCGTTAACTGGCGCCACTTAGCCAGAAAGTGACAAGAGCGGCCAAGCGGCACTGTTCCTTGCTCTATTTATCCCTCCAGAGAGCCAGCCACCTTCTCTTTGACATACCCTGTATCCTGCCTGGGCTTCTGGATGGATGTTGTGGGCAGGGTAAAGGAGGACCTAGCGGTCCAGGCTCTCAAGGCTACGGTGAGATCTTCATTTCTAACTTGGACTGTGGGCCCGTGGCGCGTGGGGTAGTCTTGATTGCTGACGTTCTTTAGGTTGGATGGACCATGGAGGACTGGTGTTGTCTCGTGTGACAATATCCGTAGGTGATTTTCGAGTCGACTCAAAAATCACCTAGGTTGGATGGACCATGGAGGACTGGTGTTGTCTTGATTCCAACCTGTGTCAAGACGTGGTTGTTAGGTTGGTTGGTTGCTGATCTTGGCTTCTCTTGCTCATCCGTTCCGATGTCTCCTTGCATCTGGAGCGTCTAGAATCCTCTTTTGAGAATTCGTAGATAATACCTGCAACTCCCATGTCTCCTTTGTGTGTGTGTGTGTGTGTGTGTGTGTGTGTGTGTGTGTGCCGTCCAGGGTCATCTCAACCACAGCAACAGCAGCAGTTTCAGGGATACGACAGCGACCCTGCCAAATCTCAATCGCAGCACCACCCGGGCCGGCACCCCTACCAGCAGCAGCAGCAGCAGCAGCACCGCCGCTCTCCCCAACCAGACCCTTCCCTATCCCAGCAGTTCCCGCCTGGGCCCTCTTTAGAGTCACTCACCCAGCCGATCGGGTTCTCTGCAGCGGTAGACGCAGCTTTCTTTGTGGCACACGCGCTCGGAGCGCCGCCACCAGCTGTAACGAGGAAGGGAGATATGGCCATGCAGGGTGGTGGTGGGGATGGTGCTGCTGCTGCTGGTGCGGATTCAGCAGATCCGCTGACCAATCAGCTGGCAGGGATGTCGAAGCAGCAGCTATATGACCTGTTAGCGCAGATGAAGGTAGGATTTGTTTGCATGCATGCTCTGTGGTGGGTGGATGTTTGATGTAAAGGTATGATATCTATGCTACTTGGGATATTAAGTGTGGTGTTGGTACCAATGTCCAAGCAGCAGCTATATGACTAGCCAGTGCCGGTGAAGGTTTGCTGTCTATTTTGAAATCGGGTGCTCTGTCTCATGCTATTTCATCTCACCATTCCCTCTTTCCCTTTCCTTCTCCCCCTTTCCTCTCTGTTCCCCCACCCTCCACCCTCCAGGTGTTGATTCAGACCAACCGATTTTTGAGGCGCCTCAAAAATAGACTCCTCTTTCTCTTTCCTTGTCCCCCCTTCCCCCCTTCCTCCCTGCCCTCCCACCCCCCACCCTCCTCCCTCCAGGTGTTGATTCAGACCAACCGGTCTCAAGCACGAGCCATTCTGGTTGAGAACCCTCAGCTGGCGAAAGGCCTCTTCCAGGCGAGTCTCAACTATGAACATACACGGAGGCTCTTATGAGTCGACTCAAATGTGTTGTGTCGTGTTACATTGAAACGACTCAAAAGGTGACTTTTGATGGCTTTTGACTCGACTCAAAAGTCACCTCAACTATGAACATGCATGGAGGCTATTAGCACTTCCATTTTTGATGCCTTGTGGTACCAGAGGACCACTAGTTGCGCTGAACATCGAGCGCTTACTTGTGGGCTGGCGGCTTGTCCATCCTCCTTCCCCCCCATCTCGAATTTCTCGTTTTTCTTCTGCGATCATCTTCCGCTTGTCCATCCTCAACCCTCCCACCCCCTCATGCTGACAGGCCCAAGTTATGCTGGGGATGGTCAAGGCAACTAGTGCTGTGAGTGTAACTGGGTGCTGGGGTCTCTGCAGTGCAGCCTAAGGGTTCTTGTGTATTTCCCGTCGATTCACGAAACACCCGCGTGCAACGGGGTTGTGGGGTTCTTGCAAACTAAGGGTACTGCACGAGTTTCTAGCTATAATTTCCTGTTATGTCATAATTTCCTGTTATATCATCATTTCCTGTTATATCGTAGTTTCCTGTCCATTGCTCCTGTGCTGGCTCTCTATGCTTGCAGTCAGCACCAGAACCAGGACCACAACCACCAGCCGCCTCATCTCAACAGGTACGTTGTCTCCAAGGAAACGCTCGACCTTTCTGCCTCTCCCGGCTCGACTCCTCTTTCCCCTCGCCCTCTCAGGTACGTCCTATTCCCCCATCTCCCCCATACACACATGCACTTCCTGTGCTGCAGCCAGCACCAAAGCGAGGGCCACACCCACTAGCCCTTTGAACAGCCCCCGTCCCCTCACCATTGTGCCCCGCCCCACCATGTGCCCAAGGTTTAGCTACTAATTTCCTCTCTCCTCGCCTCTCCTCCGCTTCCTCTGCTTTCCTCCTCACTTCTCCCTTCCCATCCCCTTACCTCCCCTCCCCTCCCCTCCCCTCTCCCCCCATTCAGCGGCCTCAGGGGGGTCCGCCTCTTCCCCAAGGCCCCCCTCCGCCCCACCATGGTCGGCAGGAGATGAGGGGAAGGGGAGGGGGGTATGGTCGCCCACACGCCTATCAGGTGAGTGAAAAGAGGTGCACGTGTTCACGTAAAGAGTTTCATAGGTTATTCATTGATGTTGATGAATTGAATAGTCTATGAATAGTCTGTCGAATAGTTTTTATGAATAGTCTGTGGAATAGTATATGAATAGTCTGTGGAATAGTCAACAAATAGTCTGTTGAATATTCTATGAACATAGTCTAGGTACAGTTTATGAATCGTCCATGAAACGAATGAGGAAGTCTATGAGCCACGTCGTGCTGCTCCCAGAACTGGTCATGGCTTATCATCCCCTACTCAATTCCTCAATTCCTT